GCCCTTTCCCTTCCTGTTGTCTGAATCCAGCGCCTAGCAGTGTCCTCATGCTGTATCTGATGACTTACTTCATGTACAGATTTACCTTCCATTCAAATAAAATAATTAGTGTTTTGGTTTAAGTAGTTATCTTAAAAATAGAACATCAGGAATCCATTCTACTCTCAACCCACCCCATTTTTCTAATGAAGAAAGAAAGATTAAGTTTTTACTAAAGGCAGTTTTATAAATGAATGTTGAATTCATTTTGGAGCTTAGAGAAAGATAAAAGAAAATTACCAACTGAATAGAGCTACACTGTGAGAAAGTAACTGTAATTTGTACATTTAAATAAGAAAAAATCCTATTTGGCAAAGAGAAAACAAAAATGGGTAAATTCATGGGTATTAGAACCAGCCAGCTGTTTCATATGCCAAAAATAATTTTGCCTTGTGAAACAGCTTTTGGAGGGATCCTCAGGTTACGAAGTCATGTCTTGTTAAAGACTGCCTCCTGTGTTACTCTCCAGTGAGTGTGCTATTCTTCATTTTGCCCCTACCTTTTCAGTGAAGCTGGTCCTCCTCCTCCTCCTCCTCCTCCTCCTCCTCCTCCTCCTCCTCCTCCTCCTCCTCCTCCTCCTCCTCCTCCTCCTCCTCCTCCTCCTCCTCCTCCTCCTCCTCCTCCTCCTCCTCCTCCTCCTCCTCCTCCTCCTCCTCCTCCTCCTCCTCCTCCTCCTCCTCCTCCTCCTCCTCCTCCTCCTCCTCCTCCTCCTCCTCCTCCTCCTCCTCCTCCTCCTCCTCCTCCTCCTCCTCCTCCTCCTCCTCCTCCTCCTCCTCCTCCTCCTCCTCCTCCTCCTCCTCCTCCTCCTCCTCCTCCTCCTCCTCCTCCTCCTCCTCCTCCTCCTCCTCCTCCTCCTCCTCCTCCTCCTCCTCCTCCTCCTCCTCCTCCTCCTCCTCCTCCTCCTCCTCCTCCTCCTCCTCCTCCTCCTCCTCCTCCTCCTCCTCCTCCTCCTCCTCCTCCTCCTCCTCCTCCTCCTCCTCCTCCTCCTCCTCCTCCTCCTCCTCCTCCTCCTCCTCCTCCTCCTCCTCCTCCTCCTCCTCCTCCTCCTCCTCCTCCTCCTCCTCCTCCTCCTCCTCCTCCTCCTCCTCCTCCTCCTCCTCCTCCTCCTCCTCCTCCTCCTCCCCCCTCCCCCCCCTCCCCCTCCCCCGATTCTGTTCTTCACCTTTCTCTTATCAAAGTTAGATGATCTCATCCACCATTAGGTATAACCACAAGGTCTTCCTAAGTTTAGTCTTCCTGCATTTCTCTGTTACCAAAAACTTGTTGGAAACCTCCATCACAATCGTGTATTCTAGGACCGTTCATATGAAACTTCTTTCTCTCCTGTCTTCAACAAAGGGCATCTTCCCAGTTGCTTAAGTCAGAACTGGTTGTCATCCTCAGCTTTTTTCCCAGTGTCTCCTCTTCATTGCAGTCAACTACCAAGTTCTTAATTCCAATATTAGAAACCTACTAGTAAGCCAGGCGCCGGTGGTTCACACCTGTCATCCTAGCTACTCAGGAGGCTAAGATCTGAGGATCATGGTTCAAAGCCAGCCTGGGCAGGAAAGTCCTTGAGACTCATCTCCAATTAACCAACAGAAAACCAGAAGTTGCACTGTGGCTCAAGTGGTAGAGTACTCACCTTGAGCCGAAGAGCACAGGGACAGCACCCAGGCCCACGACTGACCAACAACAACAACAAAACCCTACTAGTGCATGATTGCCCAGAGGTATTAGCATAGCATTGGATATTTTTTTCTGTCAGAGAATTGGACATTTTTTATGTGTCACTTGTTTCCTAAGTCCTAATGAGTTCATATCTTCTATTCCCACAGCCACACTAGTATTTGATAAGAGCTTTTTGTTTTGTTGTTGTTGTTGTTGTTGTTGGTCGTGGGGCTTGGGGTGTTGTCCTTGTGCTCTTCAGCTCAGCGCCACTTCTGGTTTTCTAGTGGTTTACTGGAGATAAGAGTCTCATGGACTTTCCTGCCCGGGCTGGCTTTGAACCTCGATCCCCAGATCTCAGCCTCCTGAGTAGCTAGGATTACAGGCGTGAGCCATCAGCACCTCGCCAAGACCTTATTTTTAGACACATTTTTCAGAAGAGCCAGGAACCCGGGAATCACCTTTGGCTTCTGCCCCCTCTCCTCAGTCTCAGCTGTTACTATCCTTATCTGCTTCCATTCTTCTCACCAGTCCTCTTATGCTGCCTCAGTTCTGGCCTTTGTTGTCTATCTTGCTACTATTATTCTTGTCAGTTTTATTCTCATTTGACATACTGTTTGCTTCTCTATTGCTGCAGCCCATCTTTCTCAGAAGCAAGTTTCTTCTTGACACATATCTGCTTGCTTCTATCAGCATCAAAATAAAACAGGAATTCCTTCACAAAGCACTCTAGGGTTCCTTGTCATGTAGTGCTTGCATAGAAGTCTTCCCCAGGGGGCTGGGAAGGTAGCTCAGTGGTACCAGTGCCTGAGGCCCTGGGTTCGATTCCTTAGCACCACATAAGCAAAAAGAAAAAAGCCGGAAGTGGCGCTGTGGCTCAAGTGGTAGAGCACTAGCCTTGAGCTGAAGAGCTGAGGGACAGCGACCAGGCCCAGAGTTCAAGGTCTATGACCGGACCCAAAAAAAAAAAAAAAGAAGTCTTCCCCAGTTATTTATCATTTGTGGACATGCCACGCCTTCTGAACAGCCCTCTGATCTGTCTCCAATGACCTCACTCCCTAATCCCAACTGTCCTTGAAGACCCTTCAACCACCCTCTCCTAACGGCTTCCTGGGAACTGCAGTTCCCATCCTCTTAACAAAGGACACCATGAAATAAATTATCTTCTTTCCAGGAGACCACAAACTTATTTATGTTTCTATCTTTTATTCCTGCACAAGGAAGAATGAGAAAAAAAATAAAAGAAGATAGAAGGAAAAAATGAAGTATGGAAAGCAACAAGTGAATGAATAGATTCTAATAAAGTTGCTGTGAATTGGTGGTTGTGTGACACACCTAATTCTTGCTCCACGGAGGTAGATTTCAGGGGGTTGCAATTCATGGTCAGCCTAGGCAATAACAGTCTGTGGGACCCCTACTGCAGCTATATAAAACTGGGTTGAGGGACACTGTCATATGGGATGAATAAATAGAGTGATCACGGTCAGACTAGCTCAGGCAAAAACGTGGGACTGTATTTGAAAAATGACCCTAAATCAACTTCCGAGTTAATGCTGACACGTATTCATGTTAATTTTTTATTCTCATCAAGCGTTAATCCATCCTTCTTAGTGAATTTCTTTAAAAATCCAACGGACTCTGAGGACCTTTAGCTCCCTCGCTTTTCCAACTTTCTGTAAAGACCAGTTGTAATGCACGTCCTCACTTGGTGCTCACTGGAAGATGGCTGGGCACCCGGTGGCTCATGCTACTCAGGAGGCTGAGATCTGAGGAATGTGGTTCAAAGCCAGCCTGAACAGGAAAGTCTTTTAATCTCCAGATAACAAGCAGAAATCTGGAAGTGGAGGTGTGGCTCAAGGTGTAGAGCACCAGCCTTGAACAAAAAAGCTCTTGAGTTCAAGGCCCACCCAGTACCTATATCAAAAAAAAAAGAATCAGAACACTTTAATAATATTGTTACTGTGCATTTCTAGATAGAATCCAAAAAAAAACACCCTATCTGTATAGCAGTGACTTGCTGATAGCACCTTATGCCTGTTTATTGATAACAGGTTGCTTCATAGATATAAGGGTCCTTTCTTTCACTTGGCATATTTCAGGTATTTGAGTAGCTCCTCCCTCTTCCTTATTCATCCCAAGCATTTGACCGGGTCCTTCAAAGGAAAATCAGCAAGTGTTGAAATGACCAGCCAATATTTTTGCAAGCAATGTGCTGGAGAGAAGGGAAAGGAATAATTCAGTTTTCCAAGATGCTAATCAGTCTTTCCTTTTATTCTGAATACAGGATAGTAATTTTTATTTCAGCTTGGATATCTTGTCAAGTTCATCACAGTTCAGTTTTTACATCTCTGTAACCACCTGCAGGAAACGTCCTTCTACATGCACATATTAAGAAGGGTACAGAAGCAATAACTGAGGGTGGGAGGTGGATTGTTCTGTGCAGAGTCAGTTCTTGTGGAGAAGGCCACACTTTTTTTAATGATTAGAAACTCGATTCCCTTTGTCCTTCATATTATGTTTTATTGGTCATTGGTTAGAGTAAATAATATATAGTACTGCTATGTAAGACATTCCTTTGGCTGGTGTTTTATACCTGTAATCCTAGCTACTTGGGAGGCAGAGATTTGAGGATCACAATTGAAAACCAGCCCAGACAGGAAGTCAAAATTCCAGGAGAAATATATGTGTGTGTACATGTATATGTGTGTATATAATATATGTGTATGTATGTATATGTATATATACATACACGTGTATCTACACATATATCCTTCCTTACAGATTACATAGACCCTGTGTAATTAAATAAATCAGTGTTCTGGCAGGTATTTGGCTCCAGTTATTGAAAGGGAAAAGATAATTTTATAGGTTTTAAACAGATCCAGATTGCCTACTTGGAATGACAAATATCCAAGGCAGAACTTTGCTTTGAGAAGAGGGCTGTAGTAGCAGAAGTAATTCTGTGTAATACTGAATATTCTAACATACAGTTACTTCTTGTATGGGGCAGGATGTGTCTCATGGTATCCCTATCAAGCTACAGAATAAATAAGTAAATAGCCACAATGTTTTTTTAACAGTAAACAGCCCTTTTGTCTTGTGATTCAGAGGAATACTTTTGTTTAAGCCTTTTGTCCTAAGCCCTCTATTTACCTACTGAGATACACACTCAGATTTAAACTAGATTCATTCTTTGAAAACCAGTTCTCTCTGACTCCATAGTATTAGGATATAAAGGAGACAAATTAACTTAATGGTGAATTAATTTTTGTCTTTTTAGAATGGACACTTCATCAATTTTCTTTTATTTCCAGAGCTTCCTTACGGTTGGGAGAAAATAGAAGACCCTCAGTACGGGACATACTATGTTGAGTAAGTTTGCTACCTCGGTCAGTCAATAGTCCTCTAGATGTTGTACTTTTATTTGGATGTGGCCTGTGACCCCTCATTTTCCAACCCAGGGAATCTGGCAGGGGAAGTGAGCATCTATTGTGGTGACTTGGAGCTTTCCCAGCAGTTGACTTTTAATCTAAATATAGAAACTAGAAGGTCAAGCCCAGTGTGGTAGTAGTGCAAGCCTGTAGTTCCAGCTACTTATGAATTTAAGGCAGGAGGATTGCTTGAGTAAAAGAATTTAAGATCCACCTAGGATCTTAACATAGCAAACAAAGCCCTTTTCCTCTCCCATCCTCAAAAGAAGGGGGAGGGGGAAAACAGAAGAAACAGACAACTTCTAGAGGCAGGAGATGATAGTGTTCCCATTACAGTCTTTTTTTTTAAGTGCTATAAAAGATGTTGAACTGTGAAATGAGGGATCTGGGCAGATCGCCCTGCTGCTGCCAGTACTGCAGTGTGTGCTAGGAAAGCAGTTACAGGACCTTACCACGTTGTGACACAGTGAGCCAGAGCGGTACCTGCGTTACCAAATCCATACACGCCCGTTGTTTCTTTGTGAGGAGAGTAGTTTGAAGGGATTTTAAAGTGCAGATGTGTGTCAGCCAGGAGCACCAGACACCTGATGTTGGCCACTGTTGCATTTAAGATTTACATTGCTATGGCTACCAAATTACCTTTCATCCAGATGCTAAGGTATGTAGTACCAGGAAAATAATTATATCAGAAACATTATTATTTTTCTGGAAAATTAAAGACTGAACCCATTGCCTATACAGTTGGACAAAATGATCATTTTGGAAAAACAGCAAACACTAGAATCTTCTTGTTTTAGGATCACTTATTTTTTAACCCTTGCTAGTATAAACTAATATCATTTCCTGATAATCATCTTTACAATATCTCTGAGTCTTATTATACTCTTTCATATGTAAATTGTTTCTGACTCAATGTGGTTAGAGATTTTTGGAATCACTTCTAAAAATCTGCCCTCTGTCCTAAGGAAATATTGAAATTGACCTGTGGCTGTAGATGTAGATGTTTGCTTCCTTTGAAAAGCTATGCTAATTTTACTTCCATTGTGTCATTTAATGTGTTGCTGATACTCATTAAATGTGTGATATGCAAAGTGCATGTAGCTCCTTTGTTATTTTTTCCTGAGGCATATTTAATTTAAAGGAAGGAAGAAACCATTTTTTTTCAAGTCAAAAGAATAGTTGGAGGCCAGCCAAAAAACAAAATGGTTGGAATTTTTTTTCTTCTTGTAGTGTAGCCTATTAAATAAAGCATTTATCAAGTACTTACCATTGAACTACTGAACATGTCTGAGATAATGATTCTCACCATTACCCATTCCAAATGAATTTGAATATGTGGGAAAGAGGTGAGAGTCATTTGCCTGTTAGAAAATCTTGAGCAGAATGATCTTTTAAAAAGCACATAAAGCAGAAGTGACTTGGGGAAATCGTGACATACCCACCCCCAGTTGTCACGGGGTGTGTGGAGCAGCCCGAATTGGAAGACATGAGTGAGGTCATTTACAGGAGCACCTTGTTAAATTAGGAAGCACAGGCTGTACTGGAGACGCATGTTAGTATGTGTGGTGGAACGTGGCTTGATTCCCAGATTTGCTGGCGTTGACTCCTCTGCATAGTCTGTGAGAGTACTGATGGAGGGGGAGGGTTGTCTGCATGAGTATGTGAATCTCAAGGAGTAGAGCTGTTCCTTGAATGCTACTCTGGCTCTGTCAGGCCAGATGGCACCAGGGACTGCTTTTGGCAGGAACCGCTAGTGAGTAACACCTGTAGGAACCTGTAACTTGTAACACCTGCAGGAACCTCTAGTGAGTAACACCTGCAGGAACCTCTAGTGAGTAACACCAGCAGGAACCTCTAGTGAGTAACACCCACAGGAACCGCTAGTGAGTAACACCCACAAGAACCTATAACTAGTAACACCTGCAGGAACCTCTAGTGAGTAACACCCACAGGAACCTGTAACTAGTAACACCGCAGGAACCTACAACTAGTAACACCCACAGGAACCTGTAGTAAGTAACACCAACAGCAGTGGCAGTTTTTCTCTATGACTATTCAGAGGATTAGATTCTGAAATTGATTTTTTAGTTTTGAAAATAAATAATTATTTAGAATATTCTAAGTGCATCCATTTAGAAATGTCTTCATTGTATTGCATTAGGAGTCTTGATACACTTATGCAACAGTCAAAATTTGTATCAACTTTCATATCTATTTCTTGAGATAGATTTTTGTTGTTGTCATTTTTGTTGTTGTCAGTCATGGGCCTTGAACTCTGGGACTGGGTACTGTCCTTCAGCTCAAGGCAAGCGCTCTACCACTTGAGCCACAGCACCACCACTTCCAGTATTCTGGAGGTTAACTGGAGATAAGAGTCTCACGGACTTTGCTGCCCAGGGTGGCTTTGAACCGTGATCCTCAGAGCTCAGCCTCCTCAGTAGCTAGGATTATAGGGGTGAGCTGCCGTCACCCAGTGAGGTAGATTTTTTAATCTAGGTATTAAATATAAAATTACCACTTAGATATTGAATTATGTCTATTTCTTCAATAATCTGTCATGCTTTCCTTTCTTGCTATGAAAATACCTGGCTCTATAAGGAGTAACAGGAAAATATGTCTGTTACATTTTGATAAGTAACTAAGTGAAAAGGAGAGTATTTTCACTTTTTTATTTTGTTTCATTTTAGAGAATGATATTTTTGTTGTACTGTGGGGAGTGTGTGTGTGTATGTGGTGTGTGTGTGTGTGTGTGTGTGTGTGTGTGTGTGTGTGTGTGTGTGTGTGTGTGTGTGTGTGTGTGTGTCCATACTAGCTTGAACTTGGAACCTTGTGTTCTCTCTTGGCTTTTTTTGTTCATGGCTGGTACTCTACTACCACTTGCGCCACACCTCCACTTTTAGCTTTTTGTTTGTTGGTTGAAGAAACTCACGGACTTTGCTGCCTGGGCTGGCTTTGAACTGCAGTCCTCAGATCTCAGCCTCCTGAGTAGCTTGGATTACAGGTGTGAGATTCTTAATCTAGGCAGTGTAAGGTCACAGATGCGGTTATTCCCTTCATTACATCTTGCTGTTTTCTGTGAGGAAAACTCTTCAGCAAGTAGACAGCTTGCTGTCTGCTCCACACATTGCAGCTTTGGATGCTCTGTGGCATCGGGGTCATTCCAGCTAAGGACGTCAGGGGCCAGGCTGCTTTCCGAGCAGCTTTAACTTGTTTGTGCAGTGTCCGTCTGTTTTCTTAAGAGCATGTAAAGTGTGACTGTCCAAGAGGAGTTTCTGAAGCATGCCTAGATTTTCATCTCACAGCTAAATAGGTGACTCGGTGGAGAAAGCACCGGTAGCACGAGGCAGCTGTATCCTGAGCGTTGGTGAGGTAAGCAGCTGTAGTGTTGGCTGGGACGCCTGTATTTAGAGTTCTAAGACTCACACATCTGTGGTGGAGTTAGTAAGTCCTAGCAACCCGGAGGACAGAGAGTGCCTACTGCCCATCGCATCGCCATGTGAGAACGTTGTGTGGCTGTGTGTGTGTGTGTGTGTGTGGTCTAAGAAGAGTCCTATCGTGAAAGTCAGGTTTAACATTTAATTAATTAACTAATTGTTGGTGTTCACTTGTGAACAGTGACAGCTGACTTGAGGGGATTTCGCTGGAAAACATCATATCATATAGCCGAAGTATCTTTTTTTTTCTTGGCAGTACTGGTGTTTGACTCAGGGCCCAGTGATTGTTAACAGGCACTCTACCACTTGAGCCACAACCCCAACCCTGCAATGTCTCCGCATTGTGAAAGTGTAGACCATGATTCCTGTGGCTATGTGAGACCTAGCCATGGTTTTGTTTTCTGATATTGATGGTGTCTTAGCTGGTTTTCACCCAGAGGGTTACCAGCGTGAGCAGTGCTCTCCAGGCCTGGGATGAGGGGTAACAGCCTGCCCGACCCCCAGGCTTGTAGAGCATTTGTAAATGTTCCTGAGCATCAGGGCCAGTTGAATTCAACTCATTTAATTATTACAGAATTCTGAAGAAATTCAAGTGTAAAAGAAAGAGTTTGTTACTTTCTTAGTCACTGTTGACTTGTTTTGGGCAGCTCAGTAGAAAAAATATACTGTAGTAATAGTCTAGAAGAGTACCAGATTTCTTAAAAAATACTATGGTAGCTCCCTCCATTTTGGAGAAAGTTGCTTTATTAAAACCCTTTCATAAATGGCCTTTAAAAAATCTAGCTGACCAGTTGCCACGTGTAAGGTCTTCAGGTAAGAGGCATGCTGCTTTCTGACCTGGTCTTGTGGTAGCTGAGTGCTGCTGTCAGCCTCTCTGCGCTCAGCCCGTAACAGCCTGCGTCGCCCTGGCCTCTGGCCATGAAAATGCATGGTGTCGGTTTAGAAATGATGTGATATTTTCATCAAACCTGAAGTCCACACTTCTCCACGTTTTACAGCCACCTTAACCAGAAAACCCAGTTTGAAAATCCAGTGGAGGAAGCCAAAAGGAAAAAGCAGCTAGGACAGGCTGGGATTGCACCCTCAAACCCAGGTAGAGTTTCTGTTTGATCTTTTTTCCTCAGAATAAAATGTGAAATTTGTGTGCTCAGATAATAAAAGTGAGTTTGAGTTTTTATTGCTAGGCCTTTGACATTCATATCCTCTATAAGGATATGAATAATCTTAATAAACATGTAAACACTGAGAATACTGAGATTTTCTCGTTATGTAAAAAGTATGAAAAAAAAAAGTATGAGTTTGAGGTTTGAATTCTTATGTTTAAAGCCTGGTACACTATTAAATCTCTACTTCATTATGAGCTTCTCTTGAGTTATACTAAAGTCTAATGTCTCTAACTATTCAGGATTCTTCAGTAACCAGTGTTAATAAATAGTAAGTTATTTGCCTATACCTTTGACTGTCATATAGAATGGTAGGTGTTAGTGACACCAGAATCACTTAGGGGAACTTTTTTTTTGGTCAGTCATGGGGCCTGAACTCTGGGCCTGAGCTCTGTCCCTCAACTCTTCAACTCAATAGCACTCTACCACTTGAGCCACAGCACCACTTCTGGCTTTTTCTACTTATTTATGTGGTGCTGAGGAATCGAGCCCAGGGCCTCATGCATGCAAGGGAAGAGCTCTACCACTGAGCCACCTTCCCGGCCCCTCCTTGGGGAACATTTTTAAATGTGTAAGTTTTTGAATCTAGTCCAGTCAAGTGTATTCTGAAAAAGCTGTCCAAGAGTTTTTAGACTTTCTTCATCCCTCTCTAACGCAATCCCTTCTTCCACTGTCAGTAATAACAAGAGGTCTGTTGGCCATATTATAGTCTAGCAGAGTCTCAACTTTTATCACTTGTGAAGAAAATAGTTCTTTCTTGCAGCTACTCTGTAGAAGCATCCCCTTCTTCAGCTTTGCTTGTGGATGATCAGATACTCAGGATTTAACAGATAGTTTGAGCATCTCCTGGTCTCCCAGTGCTTGCTACTCACTGGGTTTTCACGATTGAGATTAAGGAGGTCTTGCCCTCGAGAATTCATAGTCTACAACTTGCAGTGAGTGTGCCAGTCTATTGCCCGTTTGCAGTGGGTTTTTTGGGTTGTTTTGGGTAGTACTGGGGTTTGAACGCAAGGCTTCATGATAGCTAGGCAGGCACTCCAGTGCTTAAGCTCGACCTCTAGCCCTTTGTGCTCTGGCTGTCAATTTATTTTTTGTGCTAATACTGGGCATTACCCTAAGACCCCACCCCCACCCCCCACTCTTGCTCAGTCTTGTCACTCACAGCTGGCACTGTAGCACTTGAGCCATGCCTCCAGTCCAGCATTTTATTGATTAATTGGAGATAGACTTCCTGCCAGGCCTAACTTCAAACCACAGACCTTAGCCCCTGCAGGGTGAGCCGCTGGCACTTGGCTGGCTCTTGAGTATTTTGAGAAAGGGTCTCACATTTTGCCCAGGCCAGCCTGGGTTGTGGTCTCCCTGTTCACATTCCCCACTGTGGCTGGGAAGACAGTGTGTGCCACCACAGCCAGTTTTTCCTGCTGAGATGAGGCCTTGCAAACTGTGTGTCTAGGCTGGTCAGAAGCCAAATCATCTCAGTCTCAGCCTCAGCCTCTAGCTAGATTGACAGGTGCATGCTACCATTCTTGTCCATAGGTTGAAATGACACCTGATGAACTTCTTTTGCCTGGACTGGCCTCAAACCGTAATCCTCCCATTGGAGCCTCCTATGCATAAAGTTTTTAATCTCACGTATGTGACCCTGAGTAACATCCCTAAAACCTTTGTGCCTCCCTTTCCTCATGTATACAATAGGAATCATAATAATACTCTCGTTAGGTGGTTGAAATAACAAATTAATATGTACAAAGTGCTTATAATGGTATTTGGCATGTTGTGATCAATAAATTATAGCTTTCATTGTTACTAACAGAGATGTACAATAGTCACCCCTTATCTAATCTGCTGGGGATACATTTCAAGACACCCCCTTCCTGTACCCATACAAAGCCTTCTTTATGCTTTGTTTTTCCCGTACATACATATTGATACAATCTGTTCACTGAACAGAAACTCTTTCTGGCTTCTTTTCAACATATACAAATCACTATACCTGCACCACTCTTGTGCCTTAGTGATGTTACTGAATGAGATAGGGTTCCTTGAATACAGGCATCCTGATACCATGGAGCCAGTCTGATAACCCAGACAACAACTAAGTGACTGGTGAGTGGTAATCATATGATCCTGCAGAGCTGCAGGGTAGCTCACACCACTGTGGGGTGCAGCCGGACAGGCTGCTTCATACCATGGTGGAATGGAGCAGGATGCACAAGATTTTAGCACACTGATGAAGAGTTACTCAGATTTTTTCTGTTCAATAATTTTGTACTTGGGGCTGGGAAGGTGGTACAGTGGTAGAGTGCTTGCCTTGCATGCATGAGACCCTGGGTTCGATTCCTCAGCACCACATAAGCAGAAAAAGCCAGAAATGGCAGTGTAGATCAAGCAGTAGAGCACTAGCCTTGAGCTGAAGAGCTGAGGGACAGTGTTTATGTCAGAGTTCAGGCCCCACAACCAACAACAACAACAATAATAATAATTTTGTACTGTGGTTGACAGCAGGTAACTGAAACCAGCAAAAGGGAAACTACTAGAATGGATTTGGGGTTAGGGATGTACAGACGAGAATAAGTAGGGACTTTCTCAAATGGCATGTAAGATCCTATAAATAGAAGTGATATGCTGGCCAGGTGGAAGCAGAGATAGGAAGGTCTAGGCATGAGGCCAACCCCAAACCAACAGCACAAGACCCTATCTGAAAAGTGAGGTCAGAGTCCAGTACTGTTACCACCCACCCCCAAAATAAGGATTTATTGGTTAAATTTTTCCTGTGTTTTAGTTCATACACTAAAATACCAGCTACTCTATGACATTAGACTCTCTGAATTTTTTTCCTTTATGATTTCTTTTTCTTGAGTTACACAAATCATCTTGAAATTTGTTCTTTAGGGCTGAATTCATGTAATTACTTTTGTTCTCAAATCCCTTTCTTATCTGGCCCAGATGTGGAAAAATCACACTTTACTCGGGACCCATCCCAACTTAAAGGTGTTCTAGTTCGAGCATCACTGAAAAAAAGCACAATGGGATTTGGCTTTACCATTATTGGTGGAGACAGGCCTGATGAGTTCCTCCAGGTGAAAAACGTGCTGCACGAAGGCCCTGCTGCTCAGGATGGGAAGATCGCACCAGGTAGGGCTCTTCAGAGTTCCACAGAGTGGCGGCTCTGGGATCATTTGGTACTGAGTTCACAGAGAGGAGTGGGGAGACACAGGAAGAGGGGAGAGAATGGGTATACAACAGAAGGGAACAGTTCCTATGTTAAAATAATGTTACTTGAAAGTTAAATGTATGCTGACTTGAGCAAGGGCCAGGAGCTAGCAGAGAAAACACACTACATTTATTAGCTTCTTGGAATACTGTGTGTAATCTTTAGATTATCCTTTGGCTGTACAAAACCAGTGATTTATTAATCATCTCAGAAGACAATTTGATTGTTATTCTCTTATTATATTGTGTACTTTTGGAACTATCTAACATTTTCGTACTATGTTTTTATGAAAAATGGTCCACTGTAATGTTTAGAGTAGTGTCAAAATTATATCCTATAATTTTTCCCAAAGGTGGTGGTTATGCTAGTCCTGGGGCTTGAACTCAGGGTCTGTGCACTGTCCCTGAGCTTTTTTTTCAAGGGTAGTACCCAGTAACTTGAGTCACATCTCTGCTTCCAGCTTTTTTGCTGGTTAATCGGAGATACGACTCTGAGCTTTCCTGCATGGACTGGCTTTGAACTGCAGTCTCAAATCAATCCTTTTTTCCCCAAAGTTGTTCCTTAGTAATTGATGGATTTTTGTTTTGGTTTGGTTTGGGTTTTTTGGGGTTTGTTTGTTTTTTTGTTTTGGTTTTGTTTTTTGCCAGTCCTTGGACTAACTCAGAGCCTGGGCTCTGTCCCTGAGCCTCTCTCTGATTAAAGCTAGCACTATACCCAATTGAACCACTGCACTACTTCCCATTTTTTCTGATATTTCTCCTATTGAAGATAGGAGTCTGTAAGACTTTCCTGCTCAGGCTGGCTTTGAACTGCGATCCTCAGATCTCAGCCTCCTGAGTAGCAAGGATGGCAAGCATGGGCCACCGGCTTTCAGCCTGTTGGATATTTTATATGGTGATAGTTTTGTTGTGGCTGACAAGCTTGAAAAGGAGATTCAAGGCAAGATGCTAACTTGGGGCATGTTTCCCAGAAGTGACGGATATTAATAGGGTTTTTCTTTTTAGTTTTCAATTTTAACCTTTCTTTACATTTTGTCCATCAAACACATCTTATAGCTACTATATTTATTTGCTGTCAGAATTTCATAATGTAATTTCAGATTTACCTAACGCTTACCTAATTTGCATAGCAATAGTATGCCTTCATGAAAATTCTGTGAGTCTTCATCAGGGAAAAAAAACCAAAACTTCATTTCCAATTAATCACATTTGTTTCTTAGTTATGGAACAAAATTTTACAGACTAATATTTCTAACAGCATTCTGATGAGTTTTGGAACCTACAAACCAAAGCACCTTTGTGTGTCTGTGAGCTTTTAAATAATTATTGTGAATAAAAGAATCAAATGGATGAGAAGAGTGGGTAAGAGCACTCAGCTTGTGATCTTGAATGACGGCAATTCCGTAGCCAGTGATCATCATTCTATTAACCACTGTATCACACATTTCAGTGTCTTAAATAATATATCCAATGCCTGTATGGAATTGTTACCTTTGCTTCTCCCTTCAACGAAAAAAATCACCTTATTTGGTGACTCTAACTTCTCACACTGTATTTTCTCAGGTGATGTGATTGTGGACATCAACGGCAGCTGTGTCCTGGGTCACACCCATGCAGATGTTGTCCAGATGTTTCAGTTGGTGCCTATCAATCAGTATGTCAACCTCACTTTGTGTCGTGGTTACCCACTCCCCGATGACAGTGAAGACCCTGTGGTGGACATTGTCACTGCTACCCCTATCATCAATGGACAGTCCTTAACAAAAGAAGAAACATGCGTGACTGCTCAGGACTTGAAGCCAGGAACCGTGGTTCTGGACCAGAATGGAAAATCAGGACACGTATTGATGAGCGATTGTCTTGATGGACCATCAGATCTGGGTGAACAGAGGACATCCGTGGCCTCTTCCGGCAGCTCCCAGCCAGAACTAGTGACTATCCCTTTGATCAAGGGCCCCAAGGGCTTCGGCTTTGCGATTGCTGACAGCCCCACTGGGCAGAAGGTTAAAATGATACTGGACAGTCAGTGGTGCCAAGGCCTTCAGAAAGGGGATATAATCAAGGAAATTTATCATCAGAATGTGCAGAATTTAACACATCTCCAGGTGGTGGAAGTGCTAAAGCAGTTCCCAGTAGGTGCAGACGTGCCTCTGCTTATCTTAAGAGGAGGTAAGTCAATGCAGCCAAGAGGAGCCGGAGTGTCGTGACGTTTCTCCACTCGCTGGGCGCCCTCCAGAGGCAGATGCACCCCTGGGTGTCCTCCTTGAGGCTCTGTCTATTGCTGTCCACAGTAGCGTTCTTCCCAGCGTTTCAGTTATTAGTGGCTGCATTCACATCTCCTGTTGTATTCTTTCCAAAATCTGATTATTTATGGCTCAATATTGTACTACTTCAAGTGAGATGTATCCTCTTAATCTTGTTTTCTCTGTCGATGACAATAACAGAAATTGAGCCTTTGGCCCAGTGGTACTTCATCATGCACCACAGGTCTGAGGAAGAGCCAGGCTGTCTGTGCAGATGTGCGATGAGGGGCAGGGGCACCCTGCTCTGCAGAGGCAGCCAGCCTGGCTTTGTCTTTAGCTCTAGGCTCTGTTCAAAAAGGCTAGTCAAACCTCGCAGTGCTTATGTAAGAGAAGTGATATTTTTATGTTTCAAGGTCATCAGCTGGCGTGAACGGCTCTCATGGATTATAAATCCAATTCCAAGCACTGACCAGCTACATGCTGCATGCTAATAGGCTTTCACAACTCCTTGGCATTTTAAAGAATGGAATTCACACCTCTCTTCTATCACTCTGGCTTTCAGTTTTCCTTTTTGAGACAAATGAGCATTTCAACTTTATTGGAGATTTTTCCTCATTTTCATTTCTTTGAATCACTTGGGCTTCTCCTGGGTAAATGGTAGAACATACTCAGAATTAGGTTTTAAAAAAATCTCTTTTTAGTACTAAGGGTCTCCCAGGGCTTCAACATGTATAACAGAGACTGGGATTGGATGTCAGATGCTTCTATGGCCATTTCCTACCTTGCTATACATTGCTTCTGTGGTATAGGGAACCATATCTTTTTATCTGTTTAATGATAATTCTATTAATGCCTTAGAACTATTATAAAAATGGAATTAGAAGGTGTATGTATAATGCTTGGAACAGTTAGATAAGAACTTACAGCCTACTAAAAGTGGTAACTAGTTTTATCATAAGCATTATTAGTGTTTGTGATCTAAGAATGCTTCCTCTGTTTTTAAAATCTGACTCATTTTTTTTTAAGGTCCTCCTTCACCATCTAAAACTGCCAAAATGGTGAGTATCGTAGTGATCCTCAAACACTTCTGCCCTTTCCCTGAGAGGTCTGCGCTCTTCCTCCCCATGAGAGCAGCTCCCCGGGGACCTGGTGATGGCTAGAGAGGTCAGGAAGCTTACGCTGCCAGCCTCGGATCCAAAACACGAGGACAGCATGAAGTCCTGGGTGGAGGCTGTGCTAAGTCTGCTACTTGAGGAGCACTAGAAGCCCAAACTGCCATCAGCCCTGTCCGCTAGTAAACTGTGGTACACTGGGGATCCTCCATTGAGATCCTTCTACCTTCTGGTTCTCAGGAGCAAGAACAGAAGTAGCTGAGCATTAGCACCGATGATAGACTGCTATGTCTATTTGCTGATGCCTAAAAGAAGCTATGACGGCTCCTCTTTCTTTCATGGAGTCTGCAGGTAGCACATTTAGATGCCCTTCTCTCACTTAGCACTAAGTGAACCCTTCTAACCCTTGTCCTTAACCAGCTAAGTTTGCTTGTATCAAAGTGCCAGACTGTCAGACCCAGAGCAGCGTCTTTGCATGTTTTGGAATAACCTGAGCAGTCTATATCAAGACCTGCACAGAGAAAGAAAATGTAACAGTAGGCGTATCAACTAATGCTGTTGTGCAAGAAGCAGGGTACATGTGCCTACTTCTGTGTGCACACCTAGTGGACATGGAGAGCAAGATGGCTTGTTTTAAACCCTAATTTAGGTCCACTTTGCTCATTTTGAAGTTTTTTCACCTTCCAGCTGAAAGTTGGTCTCCCAGAATGATAAACCATAGACTTTTAAAGGCAATATCATCTGATCTTGTGAAATGGATTAATTCTTTCCAGCCCACCAAGCAGAAATCCCCTGCAGATTTTGTGTTTTGTAGCTCAAAGTAGGAAAAAAAAGATGCTCAGTCTGCCCTTTTTACAGGCGGTTTATACCACAGGTCCGCCGTGAACAGAGCCCCCTGTCCCCCCGTTAGGGTGACACCGCGTGTTTCTGTGTTCTCTGCCTCCCCTGGCAGTCATTCCACTCCTTTGCCATGGGATTGGCTTCATCATCCATGCCAGGCAGCTGTGGTGACCCGGCCGCTCACAGCTGAAGGAAGGCTCTGGTGACCCTTAACTGCTCCGACAGATCCCAGGGTTGGGAGGAGACTTCCTGCCACGTGACTGCATCTGGGTCACGGAGGGTCCCAGATGGCACAGAACTGTGAAACCCCTCATCACTCCCTCACAGGCCAGTCTCCAGTCCATGTTAATTACTCAGTATAGACATCTGTAATCTTCCCCCTCAGCCAAAATTCAGGATAACAGGCTATTCTCAAAGCCAATATTTTAGACTGTTGATTGAATTTCATGTTTGAATTTATTATTAAAGAAGTTCTTTTGAGCAGGGAGTCAGTGGCTCACACCTGTAATCCTAGCTATACAGGAGGCTCAGATCTGAGAATTAAGGTTAAAAGCCAGGCAGGGCAGACAACTCTCTGCAGATAACCACCAAAAAGCCAGAAGTGGAGGTAGCTCTAGTGGAAAAGCATGAAGCCCTGATTTCAAGCCACAGTATTAGCCACAAAATAACAAAGCAGAAAGAGGAAGAGGGGAAAGAGGGAGGGAAAGGGGAAGAGTCATTTTGCTTGACTATTTTGGGGAAATCCTATCAAAATAGTTAAAAGGATGACAATAGGCCAGTCTGCCCTCCTTTTTGTGGCTGCCTGCCTTCATGGGTGTTTTCCCAGAGTGCATTTCCATTGGCCTTCAGAGTTTTCACCGAAATCAGAGTTCACTCTCCATCCCATTTTCCTAGAGAGAACATCTTAAGCATCTTCATTGCAAATTAAATTCAGCAACTAGGAGGTCGGGCTTATCAATAATTTTCTGAAGGTGTCCCTGCACTTCCCTGTTACTCTACATACAGGTGCTCCTTTAGTCTTCCTATTTATCTTCATCTCAAAGTCAAGTCGTGTTTGGTAGTGCTGGATTGGCAAGACTGCTTATCTTTTGCCTGGCATGCTTGCAGACATGTCAGTGTCAGTTACATGGCTGTGGCAGTGAATTTGCATATTATAACTGCCTGGTGGTGGTGGCAGTGGAGCCTGAACCCTCTTGGATTTGTCTGCCTGGGCTGGTTTTGAACCCCAGTCTTCAGCTTAGACCTGCCACCTGAGACTTTAGCTGGAGCCTTAGACCTGTTTTCAGTTGACATACCCAGCTCATAGTCTTTTTGAAAGAATTAACAATCTTACTTTCAAAAACACCAAAGAGTGTCTTTTTTCTATTTTAGAAAACAGATAAGAAAGAAATTTCAGGAAGTTTGGAGGCCATAAACGAGTCCATTCCCCAGCCGATGCCTTTCCCACCCAGCATTATCCGGTCAGGATCTCCGAAATTAGATCCTTCTGAGGTCTACCTGAAATCTAAGAGTTTATATGAAGACAAACGTAAGTAGTTGTGTAGCATTTCAAGAGCACATGATAAAAAAAAATTTTTTTAACTGTTATTTCCTGTCTTCCAAAGGCATATTGAGAAGTTACTCCCTCTTTACCCTTTTAATAGGACCCTGAGCCTCACTCACATACCTTCAGTATTCACTCAGTTTATTTCCTAGCTGTGAAGGTGTCGGCCATCCTGTTAGGAACTAGAATAGAGAAATAAGTATGTTACATAGTCCTGTACCATCAATAGTATTAAACATAAAGGAATAAGGCAAATGTTTAGCAAACAAGTGTACAAATAAGTACCTGTGGCCTCTCAGGTTGAGAGGGAAGGTTGAGTTGGACAAATTGCAATCTGGATTGAGAAGGAGCTCATTTAGGGCTAGGAAGTATCAGGTAGAACTTCAGGCAGCAAGAGAGGCTGAAGCCAAGTGAGGAGAAGAGCTATGCATGAGGAAAACAAGGGAAGGGCAGAGGAATTGCATTGTGCCTGGCCTTTATGTGGTTGGCTAGAGGTGAAAGCAGGAACAGATTGTGGAGGGCTGATGGGGGGGCCCTTCTGAGAAAGCTGGTCATGATTTGTAGAAGAACTGGACACGGTGGCCCATGCCTGTGGTCCCAAACACTCAGGAGGCAGAAGATCTTGAGTTCAAGGCCAGCCTGGGAGAAAGAAAGAACAGAGGGAGAAGGAAGGAAGATAGAGGAGGGAACAAGTCATGAAATGGTTTTAACTGCAGGAAAATATCACTGAATTTGAGTTCTAGGAAGATTTTTTTCTGGCAGGAATATGGCATCCACCTGAGGAAAGAAAAAGCACAAGGTAGAAATTCCTTTTTATTTTAATTTACTTGCTAGTAACAAATCTTTTCCGAACTAAAACTGCATATTTAAATGTGATTAATATTTTAAGAACTAAATTTGGTCTCATACCAAATGGCACAGTGGCTCATCCCTATATAATCCCAGTTACTTAAGAGACAGAGATAGAAGGATCACAAGTCAAAGGCAGTTTACACAAAAAAGTTAGTGAGACCTTATCCTAAAAGTCAGGCTAGACCCCAAGTATATGGGAAGCTACCAGGGAAAAATGTATGAGACCTTCTCTGAAAATGAAAGCAAAAAGTACCACAAGTGTGGCTTGAGCCCTTGCTAGGCAAGCACAGGCCCTGAATTCAAAACCCTAGTACTGCCAAAAAGAAAAAAAAGAAAAGAAGGATGGTATCTACATGTGGTGTTTGTAGCCAGCTTGAGCTGCAACGTCAGAACCTATTTCACAAAACAAAAAACAGATTTATATCTATCTGGAAAAAAGATAAACACAATTAGAAACATATGAAACTGACTACATGCTTACTTAACTAGTTGCAAAATTTTATCTTGATATTTTCAGGCCATATTCAAAAGATGAAGACCAACTGTCAGCATAGTAAAGCAGAAATTTAAATGAGTGTAACTGTGGAAAACCTTTCTTCAGACTTCCATTCATATGGGATACATTTATTTATTTATAATTTTAAGTAGTTGAACAAAGGGATTTGGATTCAATAAATCAGATTGTGAGTACAGTGCATCTTAAGACATTCATAGTATTGTGACCATTGTACTTTCTAAAGTTCCATTTCCTTTTCCTGCGGAGAGTTGAACCCAGAGCTAAGAACACACTTTCCCACTGAGCCATACACAGACAATAAACTTCTGTGATTCTAATAGGAACTATTTATCCAGAAATTGCTTCCATTGACTATAAAATCAGGCCACAGAACAAGGCTCTTGTTTTCCGTTCTTCCTGCTGCTCATTTTCATATTAAAAGAAGAGATTGCTTCCAAACAATATTGATAGTTTATCCTCTACCACATTTCACTTACTTTATATAGTTTACAGCATTTTATTTTTTTCTCTTTTTTCATGATGCTTGAACTCTGGCCCTGGACACTCTCCCTACGCTCCTTTTGCTGAAGTCTAGCACTCTACCACTTGAGCCACAGCGCCACCTCTTTTATTTTTCTGTTATTTAATTGGAGATAAGGAATCTCACAGACTTTCCTACCTGGGTTGGCTTTGAACCACCATCCTCCTATCTCAGTCTCCAGAGTAGTTAGAATTATAGGTGTGAGCCTCTGGCACCTGCTTCCAGCTTTTCTTTTTCTCCTTTTAGTAAGTACACTTTACTTAGGAAAACACTGATATTTCCCCAGAGACAGATTCTTAGTCATGAAACAGCTTTTCCTGACTTCGTATTCTGGTGAATACAGCCTACCCTTGGGGAACAGAACCATGTGGGGTAAAAGCCCAGCCCCTTGAAATGCAGCTTGGTCTTAATCAACTCTGCCACTCACCCGATCACCCTCCACAAGTCAGTCAGGCCTTCATTTCCTTCAGTAAGTTGTCACTGATAGCTGTTTTCTTTAAAATACTAACCTTTTGCAAAATTAGGCTACGTAGATAATTCATGTGAAAAAAACTTTTAAGAGTAGGATAAGTATTTTATAGGCTCTCTTTCCTTAGATTTAAATTATCTTGCTTAGATTATATCTATCAAACACCAAAGTGATTTTTTGATCATTCTGAATTGAATGTTGTAGTATGGAAGAGACAATATTAGAAGTTAATAACCCAGTATACTGAATGCACAGAATCCACACAAAGGTTCCTGAACAGTCTTGTTACAGTTTGGTTAGCACTTAAAACAGATTTGTATTCAAGTATGTATTTCCCATACTCTTAAGTAAAATTTCACTTATCTAAAAATTATGAGATTATACATAACTGAATTGCACTATAATTGTATCCTACTAAATACTGAACTTGATTTTAATACTTTCAAATATGAACAAAATATTTACTCTACATTTTCTGATTTTCCTTAGCACCAAACACCAAAGATTTGGATGTTTTTCTTCGGAAACAGGAATCCGGGTTTGGCTTCCGGGTCCTGGGCGGAGATGGGCCTGACCAGTCCGTAAGTGGGAATCTTTGCCATGTGTCTCTTGGAGTGGTGTTTCAGTGGAGTGGGGTGTTCTTGTTTTAATATGAGGAAAAAGGCATTTCTGTGAGTAGCATCCATCCTCAACTAGCATGGAATAGCTGAAGCCAACAACTATAGCTAAAAACATGTCGGCTGAGACCTAGGCAGTAGTGGCTCACGCCTGTCATCCTAGCTACTCAGGAGGCTGAGATCTGAGGATCGCAGTTCAAAGCCAGCCCAGGCAGGAAAGTCATTGATCACCAGAATACCGGAAGTGGTGCTGTGGCTCAAAACAGTAGAGTGCTAGCCTTGAGCAAAGACAGCTCAAGGACAGTGCCTAGGCCCCAGAGTTCAAGTCCCATGACAGACCCCCCCCCCCAAAAAAAAAAAAAAAACCAAAAACACAACATATCAGCTATAACTCAAACACTGATTGACTTATTTACTTTTCTGTGTAAATAAATAAGGCTTACTTGGAGCTAGAGTTTAACAGTAGCACATGCACCTAGTATGCACAAGGCCTGCTTCCATCTTTGACACCCAAAAACAGAAACTTAGCTGAGCTTTCCTTTTAGCTTTCCCTTGCAAAGCAGATTCTAAGACATCATCGCTAAGAAACCTGTTACTCATCCAGGTACCAGTGGCTCACTCTGTAATGCTGGGTACTTAGGAGTCTGAGATCTGAGGATTTGGGTTGGAAGTCAGTCTGTGAGACTTTTATCTCCTATTAAAGAGTAAAAATAAATGGAGCTGTGGCTCAAGTGGTAGAACACCATCCTTGAGCAGAAAAAGCTAAGCAAGAACAAGATGCCCTGAGTTCAAGTCCCAGAAAAAACCTATAATCCTCTGTCCTCTCTGCCAAGGTCTTTACCTTGTAAATGCTGTGATAACCCTCTTCTCTGTTCATCCAGTCCTATTGTTCCTTCTGTTAGCTCTGAAAGCTTGAGAAGACAAAATAACTCATATTTCAGTCTAGAATGCCAAAGGCTTAGATCTGTAAAGCATTTCAACTCTAGAATTTTGTTTATGCAGTGATCTTATATGAAGTTTGTGGAACAATCAGTGGTTCCGTTTTTAAGTTTTGCACTTCTTTTTTTGTTTATTGTGGTACAGAGGACTGCTTGTGCTTTCCCTCTACCACCTGAGCTATGCCTCTAATCCTTCCTCTTTTAGTTTAGTTTTTTTTTTTTTTTGGGGGGGGGGGGGCGTCCAGTCATGGGGCCTGGGCGCTGTCCCTCAGTGCTTCAGCTCAAGGCTAGCACGCTATCACTTGAGCCATAGCACCACTTCCAGCTGAGGAATTGAACCTAGGGCCTCATGCATGCAAGGCAAGCGCTCTACCACTGAGCCACCTTCTCAGCCCCAGTTTTGTTTTTTAAGTAGGGTCTCAAGCTAATCTTTTCACAGAACTCATAGCCATTCTTACCTCTGCCTCTAAAGTAGCTGGGACCACAGGCATATGGCCATTATGACTGGCCCTTACCTTTGGTAAATGGCAGAGAGTAATATGGCCTGTAGAATGTAAGAATGTATTTACATTTTATTCTGTTTCATATCCAAAAAGAGTACATTGTTATCTTAGAAGTTAGGCGAATAAAAGTAGTATTTTTAAATGTCAGTACTTTTAAATGTTTAATGTATAAGTATGTTCTAATTAGTCTCCAGTGGTAACTGATTGTCGCCTGAGGATTCTAGAAGGATTCTGTATTAGTGGTTAGGTGAGGTACCACTTCTAGGGTAGCAACTTTCTGAAATATGACTTTCACAGATAAATTGTGGGATATCTGTTGGTTTGCAGTGTTGAGTCAGGAAGGTCTTAACTCTCTAGCCATTCTTTGTACACCGTACAGCCAGCCTTCACTTTACTGTCTTATCAGATATACATTGGGGCCATCATTCCCCTGGGAGCTGCTGAGAAAGATGGCCGGCTCCGTGCTGCAGATGAGCTGATGTGCATTGATGGGATTCCTGTCAGAGGGAAGTCACACAAACAGGTCTTGGACCTCATGACCACCGCAGCACGGAATGGCCATGTGCTACTGACTGTCAGAAGAAAGATCTTCTGTGAAGGTGTGTAAGCCTCTTACTGCTCGGAAAAGTTAAAAGGAGACATGTCATCTTCTCTGTCATCTTGCAGGACTCTTTTCCATGTTCAGTACACTATAACCTGGGTATGATGGTGCCTGTAGTCCGAGCTCTTGGGAGGTTGAGGCAGGAGGATGGAAAATTCCAGACCATTCTGGAGACCTTAACTCAAAAATCTATAAAAGATAATTTATATGATCCAGGATCCTATTATGGGAGGCCATGTAAAGTAATAGTATTAATAAGAAGAAACTTTAAATCTCGACATTAAGATTATACTAATTAATAAATTTTACCACTGTAGAATTATAGATGAAATCTGTGTTTCAAAAAAGAATGCAGTTCTTTGATTAGAACAACGTACTCCCCTGTCTGGGTAATGGAGGACTTTGGGTCCTGGTGAAACCCCAGACCGACCCTCAAGGATAGGTTACCACCTAAGTGCTTGCCCTGTCTTCTTTAGTCCTCACACATATTCCCATGAAGCACTGCGATGACCTAGGTCTATGTGGTTGTACAGTGACTCAGAAGGCTCAGAGACACATGGCTTGTCAATACTAGGGCCAACATTAAGACATAGTATTTGCCTGCAGAGTCCAGTGTCTAAACCATGACACGAGAATATGGACACTTGTGTCTGCTTGCCTAGCTACTCTGTAGTCCCAGCTCCTAGAAGATTCCCTGCCTGCAAGATGGAGATTGGTAAATGTCTGATCCTTGATGGATATGGACATCGCTCTTTTCCTTTGCAAGTGTTCCAGGGCCTCACGTGCTACGCACATGTTCTTTTACTGGGCTACATCTCCAGCCCGTTGGCATCACTCTTTTTTATTTGTTGAGATAAAAACATGCATTCTGCTTTTATAAAATGGGTTAAGCTAGGCACCAGGGGCTTATATCTGTAATCCTGGCAATTTAGGAGGCTGAGATCTGAGGATCATGGTTCAAGGCCAGCCCAGGCAGGAAAATCCATGAGAATTTAATACCTAATTAACCATTAAAACAAAAAACTAGAAGTGGAACTGTGACTCAACTGGTAGAGTACTAGCCTTGAGGAGAAAAGGCTCAGGGTCAGCACCCAGGCCCTGAGTTCACCCCAGGACCAACACATAAAAGGTGTATTAACTGCCCACTTGCTGGGGATTCTGCATGAATCTATGCCAAGCAAGTCTGCTGTTCACCAACAGTGAGGGAAAGAAAAGTGAGACCTGCTCATGATAAACTCGTATGAAAGCTGTATGGCAAAAGCATATGCTATGACTGGGAAGGTGGCTCAGTGGTAGAGTGCTTATCTCGCATGCATGAGACCCTGGGTTCCATTCCTCAGTACCACATACGCAGAAAAAGCTGGAAACAACGCTGTGGCTCAAGCGGTAGAGTGCTAGCCTTGAGCAAAAGAAGCTCAGGAACAGTGCCCAGGCCCTGAGTTCAAGCCCCAGACCTGGCAGAAATAAAAATAAAATAGTAAAATAAAAAGCACATGTCAGAACAAATCCTGTGAGACAGAGAGCAGTTCAAACAGCAGCCTCTGGCACTTTGAACTCTCAGACATCAGTGAACACCACTCCCTGAACTAAGTTATATTCAGTTAATTTTAAAAGGACATTTACATTATCTACTTCTGTTAAAATTACTGTCAGGAGTCGTAAACCTTGACACACCAAGCAGTTCCTGGAAGAATTTTTTTTTTTTTTTTACGATCATGGTTCTTGAACTCTGGGCCTGGGCGCTGTCCCTGCGCTCTTCAGCTCAAGGCAAGCGCTCTACCACTTGACCCACAGCACCACTTTCGTTTTTCTGGTGGTTTATTGGAGATAAGAGTCTCATGGACTTTCTTGCCTAGGCTGGCTTTGAACCTTGATCCTCAGATCTCAGCCTCCTGAGTAGCTAGGATTACAGGCGTGAGCCATCGGTGCCTGGCTTCCTGGAAGAATTTTTATAATCAAATCTCACTGAAGCTTTTAGAAACTTTAGTTTTCCAACTGTTGGAAGTTGTATGGACTGCAGCTGATTGTATCTGCACTCAGATCACACTTGAATCTCACTTAGGAGCTGCTGTTCAGTTCTTCATGTTATGAAGGACTGAATTTTCTTTGAGAGGCTTAACACAAAAGCACTTATTTAACAACAACAAAAAAAAAATCATGGTTTTCCAAAATACTAATACTGGTTATGTTGATTATAGAGACACAGCCTGAGGACGACGTCCCCAAAGCCTTCCCTTCATCGCAGAATGGATCTCCCCATCTGAACCGAGCAGAGCTCCCAGCAAGGTCTGCTCCCCAGGAGGCTTATGATGTTGTCCTTCAACGAAAAGAGAATGAAGGATTTGGCTTCGTCATCCTCACCTCTAAAAACAAGCCACCTCCCGGAGGTAAGGACTGCCAGATGTCTATACTGTGCAAGGCCACTGTCAGAGCCTGCCGCTGGAGCTATGAAGCTCATTAGGAATTATACACGTGTGAAGACTGTCTTAGAGACTTGCCTTTTCTTTTTTTTGGGGGGGTGTCCAGTCGTGGGGCCTGAACTCTAGGTCTGGGCGCTGTCCCTCAGCTGTTCAGCTCAAGGCTAGCGCTCTACCACTTGAGCCACAGCGCCACTTCCGGCGTTTTTTTTTCTGCTTATGTGGTGCTGAGGAATCGAACCCAGGGCCTCATGCGTGCAAGGCAAGCGCTTTACCACTGAGCAACCTTCCCATCCCAGAGACTTGCCTTTTTAAGAATAAGTAGTACTGTGTTATTTTTCAGAATCAGATGATCTAAGCCCAACCTTCAGGCTTCAGGTTTATCTATTCATAAAATAAGTCTTCAGTAGCTCATTTTACATCAAATTATATACTAGGGCTGGTGACAGTGATTCAAGCCTGTAATCCTAGCTGCTCGCGAGGTGGAAATCTGAGGGAACAGATCAAAGCCAGCTCGGGAAGGAAAGTCCATTATACTCTTACTATTAACTGCAAAAAAGCCCAAATGACATTGTCACTCAAATGGTAGATCGCTAGCCTTGAGCAAAAATGTTCAAGGACAGAGGTATCCATGCAGTGAGTTCAAGCCCCAGAACTGCACACGCACAAAAAAAACACACTATACTGGGAAATGGATCAGGGAAAGACTGAATTTTTTTAAAGTCCTTTTTCAACTTGGAGAATAGGTTTTTTGTTTTTATGAGAGAAATAATGGCTCTACAAATGAATTAAATACTAAAACAATTGAGAAGAAGTAAAATTGATTAATAGAAAAGCTAAATTCAAATATGTTCTTTAATAATTACTATAAAATGATAAGAAATTTTCCTACTTTGCATATATCTTTCATTGAAGGGTAAAAGTTTTGTTAGAACCTTCAAAAATTAATCTTAGGCCGGGCGCTGGTGGCTCACGCCTGTAATCCTAGCTACTCAGGAGGCTGAGATCTGAGGATCTCAGTTCAAAGCCAGCCCGGGCAGGAGAGACCGTGAGACTCCTATCTCCAATAAACCACCAGAAAACCAGAAGTGGCGCTGTAGCTCAAGTGGTAGAGCGCTCGCCTTGAGCTGAAGAGCTGAGGGACAGCGCCCAGGCCCAGAGTTCAAGCCCCGCAACCGACAAAAAAAAAAAAATTAATCTTAACAAAATATTTGCATCTGAAAAGGCTGAACATATGTGTGTACGTACATAAGCAGCACATACAGAGTGGAGGAAATATACATAGTTCAGAGTTTAGAGTTTAAGGTTTCAGCAAACTAATACCTTATCATGATGCTTCTAAGAAAGAAAATCTTTACATATTTATGAGACATTGGTATTTGTGTATTGTGCTCATCTAGTACCTTTATTTTTTTAGGTCAGATGAAAAAGAAAATCTTTTAACTGTATTGAAGTACTCTCTTGCTTCTACAAGGGAAATTGATTTTGCCTTGGGTTGCAAGATCCTTTCAAACTAAGTGGTCACTACAACCTTAGTTAAAAAAGCGTTGTAAGCCAAACCAATTTGCAACAATCTTGCTAAAATCAATGCATGCACGCAAAGGAAGTTCTGCAGCAAAGATGAGTTGTTGCAGTAGTGCACATCATTGCTCCCTGAGAACAGTTGCTGTGATGACACATGGGACCGTCACTGCTTCTGTGAGGACCATTGTGTAGCCTGTGTCAGAAAGATGAAAGGAAAACAGCTGTTTGGCAGTTTCGTGTGGGATCATTGGGAATCAGACTTTGCAAATATGTGGGCAGGGATGGGAGAGGGAAGCTGGGGAAAAGCAGAGGACGGGGTGACATTGTCCAAGAAAGAAAGGTACTTGTTACCTGACTCTCAAAATGGCAGCCCCTCTGTACAGTGCATTAATTGTAACAAAATTATTTGGAAAAAAATGAAACAACCACTTGCCAGAGTGTCAGGTCCTCTGAGTGAAGATGGTGACTTAGTCCTGACCTCTTGGAGGGACCTTCAGCCCCTGGCCCGCCTGCGCCTGTTGGAGCAGCCGTTGCCATTGTCATCATTGTTTAGAAAACTGCCGCCACCTCTTGACCTGGTTTTGTTCTTGTTTTGATTTTTTTTTTTTCCCTTGTTGGTCATGGAGCTTGAACTCTGCGCCTGGGTGCTATCCCTCAGCTCTTTCTGTTCAAAGCTAGCGCTCTACCACTTTGAGCCACAGCACTACTTCCGATTTTCTAGTGGCTAATTGGAGATATAAGTCTCATAGATTTTCCTTTCCAGGCTGGCTTTGAACCGCAATCCTCAGAACTCAGCCTCCTGAGTACCTAGGAATACAAGCATGAGCTACCAGTGCTCATTTTGATTTTTAAGACGGCATCGTACCAAACTGCCCAAGGCAGTCCTGGGTTCATGAGTTTAAGCAATCCCAAGTAACAGCTACCAGTACCCACCAACACCCAACAACTCTGTTTTTAAAGAAACCCTCAAGCATTAATATTTAATAATGGGTTGGAAAAGAAAGCTATTAAAATGTAAGATTGAGGCAACTGCTTACAAACAGAGGAAGTGATGATCAGCTCCAATGCTCAGTGAGACTCAGGCTGTTGACAGATGTTCCGTGAAGTATTGAGGGTTTCAGTGTGGCGGACAGCCACAACTGGCGATGCCACTCAACTGTGAGTTAATACTGTCACTGAAACAGAGCGCCCCGTCTGTCTGCCACAGGTAGAGGAATCCTGGGCCAGTGTCCAGAATTGGGGCAGTTACTGCATCTCTGTGGCAGAAGGGGCTCAGCCTAGAAGCGGGTAGCGTAGGCAAGGGCAAGGCCCGCCTGCAACAGTACATTTCTCTGTTGTGGACCTTGCCTCAGAACCCTGCTCGACATAGGTTACTTTTTTCTTCTAAATGATGTATGTTCTTTCTGGTGGTGCATGTCTCCGTAAGAGGTCCTGATTGCACCACTGGTTCCAGTTTTGAGATCCTGACTGTCAGAAACTAGGGGTCCGGGCCGCCATCCTCATGGCACATCTCAGCGTTGAGGAGCTTGGAGCTCGGGCCTCCCTTTGGCGTGAAAAGGACATGGCTCATTCTCATTTCACCGGACCTTTCAGTGCTACTTTGACCGAATGCTTCTTGGTCCCACTTGCAAAGGAGTTCTTTGAAAAGAGGAAAGTTCCATTTACTGTCCTTTCTTTTCCTGAAAAGAAATGTTTAAGAGCACTAATGGGATCTTAGCAGCTGGGTAGCCAACCTGTGAGACAGATGGAGGCCAGGGATGAACGCGGACGTGTATAGTGCTTTGTGGCAGGTGCCCATAGACTGCACACCAACACAAGGCAGGACTCAGGCTGTGCGTGCTCTAAAGTCATGCCTGGAAAACCAGCCCTGTCCATGCTTAGTGTCCACATGTGACCTTCTGCTGGCCCCTGGGAGTCTGGCTCCTGTAAAGGACAAGACAGGAACAGTGAGTATACCTTCACCAGCCCTCACCTGGACAGCTGGCCCTTTAAGTGTGGACCTCCATGTGCGAGTTCCCCTTGCCCTATTGCTTACATGGTGAGGCTTTAGAGATTCATTCTCTTTGCTCTCCCAAGCCTGGACAAACCCTTACTGGTGTGCTGGCTATTCTTTTCCTCAGAATGCATACACTAGTAGGAGTGAATCTTTTGAAAGGAGAACTGTTGATTGAGAAGGTCACCACAGGGTTACCATGTGATATTCCATTGCTTCTGATGAGCTCACAGCGCTGGGCCGGGCCATAACCATGCTGTGTTCCTGTGTTGCTAATGCATCTATAAGAAAATGGACACCATTCAGAGCTAAAAGGCCTTTGCCCCCAATATTAAGACAAAAATCTCCCACTGTCTAGTCCTAGAGCCAAGGTACTGTCTGTAAGGACATAAATCATGACCAAGAATAACTTTCTGTTTTAAATGAAGGTCTGTTAAAACATCCCAAAACATTCACAGACATAATTCAGAAATACTAGTGAGGATATTTTGCTAAGGAAAGTAAACATAGTTAGTTCACAATGCCATCTAGTACTATTCGTTGTCCTGATTCTTATCAGTCAGTCCAAGTGCCTGTAAGTCTGCTGAGCTAAGCTAGGAAACTGTTGGTGAGCACAGACAGGCTCAGGGCAGACGTGTTCAGTGCACAGGAGATAACGTGATTTGACAAGGTTTTCTGAATGTCTCAGAACTTAGAAGTTCGGATAATAGCACAGTGTCCTGCTATGAGTTGGTGTAGGAAAGACAGCAGCATGCTTGGCTGGAGGCAGGCCCAGCACCCCTAGTTATTAAACAACAAAGCGGGGACTGTTAGCATGCATGGCCTCAGACCCTCGCACTACATTTCTGGGCAGTTGGTAGCCCCAGATGCACCAGTGGAATGCACCGGCCCCCAGACCTGAACTCCTTCTGCCCTGGAATTCTGGGAGTGGTCGGCTTCCCGCCCTCCTCCAGACCTAGCTGAGCTGGCTGCAAGCTGGAAGACTACCTGCCACCCCCATAGCCCCTGGGGTTACAAGGACCCACCTGGGTGGGAACAGGCACCATATTGCCCTCTCCCTCATGGGAAAGATGGCCCTACTCACAAACCTTCTCCCGAATGTGACTGTCTCTGCAGGCCCCAGGGATGGCTGGGATGGACTCTAATTGGCAGGGCCGTGGGTATCTTGTACAGCTATTTGCACATTCACAGGATGAATCTTTACTTATACTCAGTTTTCTGAACAATAACTACTGAGTCCTAAACTTGAGTCTGACCTGCATTATTTAAAGGTTCCTTTTGGGAGTAAATGTCCTCTCAGCAGAGCTGGAGTCTTACTGCAACAGCTTCTAAAGCAGTTAAAGATGTGATGTAACTCTAATGGCTAGTTACAAACAGTGAAATGTCAGATCTATGAGCTGTTATCATTATCTGTGAGATCGCCAGGAAATTAGAATGGTGACGTGTAAAGGCAGTAAGTGGAGTTACCAGTGGGAGCAACCAGGCAGCTGGGCAAGCCTACAATAAGGACCTCCTAAAGGCAGAGACGATGGGGGAAAGACAGTCGGGACTGGTGGTACTGACAAACAGACGGGACCAGAGGTGGAGGACTGGAGCCCTGGCTCAAGTGGAAGAGAGCCTGCTCTGCTCCAACCCCAGTACTGCTGAAAGAGGAAGAGGAGGAAGAGAGGCCTTGGGCAAGGCCTGTGTGGTCCTCACAGTCTGCCCTCAGAGAACAGCGTCCCTGACACCACAGAAGGAAAGATGCTGTTGTCAGGCCCCTTGCTACCCTGAGGTCTTTGAGAAGCTGTCCCCTTCCCACTTGGGCCTTTATGGGATTCTTGCTCTTCTGCACATCATCTGCCCTTTCCCTGGCTGCCCCTGAACAGCACCCAGCCATCCTGGGCGCATCCTGGCTCCCATCGAGGGGTAAACTCAGTGGCCTTAGGAGAGAAGTCAGAACAAGGTGTCTGGTAAGCGTCTATGTGTAGATCGGGACTCCGCCTGTGGTCAGTGGATGGTGACTCAGATGCAATTGCACTTAGATGAGACACAGACCTGTGCTGATTCTAGGCCATTTTTTTATTTCTTTTTGTGCTGGCCTCGGGGCTTGAACTCAGGGTCTGACTGCTTTCCCTGAGCTTTTTTTCTCAAGGCTGACGCTCTATCACTTGAGCCACTTTTGGCTTTTTGCTGGTTAACTGGAGATGAGTTTCATGGCGTTTCCTGCCCGGGCTGGCTTCAAACCTTAATCCTCCAATCCCAGCCTCCCCAGTAGCTAGGATGACAGACACGACCCACTGGCACCTGGCACTTGCTAAAGAGTTTTCTTTGATGTTATTGTGTTGAACTTTTAAATAGTAACAATAATGATAAGTCCAACAGGAGCAGATTTCATACATAACTGAACAACTAGGGGGTTCTTTCCCACAGTTATTCCTCACAAAATTGGCCGTGTCATAGAAGGAAGCCCGGCGGACCGCTGTGGAGAACTGAGAGTTGGCGATCGTATTTCTGCAGTGAATGGGCAGTCCATCGTTGAGCTCTCCCATGACAGCATTGTGCAGCTGATCAAAGATGCCGGAGTCACGGTCACACTGACCGTGGTCGTTGCGGAAGAGGGTGAGGAACGGTAGCGCCCTGCCTTTCCAAAAGCTGGTCTCGGAAATCCCCACAGCCACCGCTCCTATGCCCTCGGGTCTCCTTGTTCGCCTTCTCCATCCAATGAGCTTTCAAGACAACTTATCCTAAGGTCTCCCGCTAGCCAGGGCCCGCTCTTGCTTACAAATTCTGTTCAGATCTAGTTTTCTTTTTTTTTTTTTTTTGGGGGGGGGGGGTCCAGTCGTGGGGCCTGAACTCTGGGCCTGGGCGCTGTCCCTCAGCTCTTCAGCTCAAGGCTAGCGCTCTACCACTTGAGCCACAGCGCCACTTCCGGCTTTTTTCTTTTTGCTTATGTGGTGCTGAGGAACCGAACCCAGGGCCTCAGGCATGCAAGGCAAACGCTCTACCACTGAGCCACCTTCCCAGCCCCTGGTTTTCTTAATAAATGCCGTAGGCCTCAGCTTGAGTGACAGAAGATCCGTTAAACAGCTCAGAGGAAGGCGCTGTTGATCCTGAGTCTTGTGGGGCACGGGCCTTTACTCTGGGCAGCATTCCCAAAGGGCTGGGGGACAGTGAGCAAATAGAGCGTCAAATGCAAACCGGCAGCTCAGGAAGGGGCTTGCCTTGCTGCCTTTTAATCAGTGAGAGTCTCCAATTAGAGATGTTTTGTGTCAGCACAGTTCCTTGTTTGTGATTGCTAAGTAATTATGTAGTGCTCCTCTTGTTTTCTCCTGACCTTGCGAAACCAGTGAGATCAAAACAAAATTGTAAAGGAGCCATCTTTGATGTAAAAATTCCTCTTACAGCAGTGTTATTATACATGATCGTATTTCCCCGTCAGCTTCTCGATCATTGGTCTTTCCTTCTTTGGGCCCCTCCCTCTCTTCCCCTCCCCGCCTCCGCTTCTGTGCATGCCTGTCCCTTTCTCCCACTCCCCCACCTCTCGTGGGTATTGTGAGCCTTGCTGGTCTTGAATTCCTGAGCACAAGACATCTTCCCACCTCAGCCTTCAAGTGCTGGGACGACAGGTGAACACCACCCAGCTTGTGTTCCTTGATTTTTAACTTTCCTTTTTTTTTTTCTATTTGGTGCCAGTCCTGAGGCTTGAACTCTGGGCCTGGGCGTGGTCCCTAACTTTTTGTGCTTAAGGCCAGTGCTCTGCCACTTGAGCCGCCTCCAGCTTTCTGGTGGTTAAAAGTGTAGGTAAGAATCTCAGACTTTCCTGCCCAGGCCTGGCCACTGTCCCCAGCCTCCTGAAGAGCGAGGACGACAGGCGTGAGCCTCCAGCGCTGCTGTCCCATGCCCGGGTTTAACTCAGGGCCGCCTGTGCTCAGCCAGCACTCCACTCTTGAGCCATGCCTCCAGCCCTTTGTATTTTGTTTTCTTTTTTGAGTCAGGGTCCCACAAACATTGTCCAAGTTGGCCTGGACTTGAAATCTTCTTCCTACATGCCCTGCTTTCGGTGTGCGCCACCGTGCATGGCATGCATGGCTTCTGTGCATGTTTTGATCTCCTCTGTTTTCTTATCACCAGAGCATCACGGCCCACCGTCAGGAACGAGCTCCGCCAGACAAAGCCCAGCTCTGCAGCACAGACCTGCGGGGCAGGCACAGGCCCGTCACCTGCCTGTAGACAGGTGGGCTTCGTGGGTTTAAGGGTTTCCTCCGCTTCCCTGCTCCCCACCGCCCCTGCAGCTGTGTGGAAGCCAGCTGCCGGGACGTTCCCTCCCGAACCTTTGCTATGCCGCCACTCCAGCGGCCTCCCTCCCAGCACGCACAACCACGGGCAGTGTCTGGGCATGACAGCAGCCTCCAGCTCTGCTACTTGTGGCCACCTAGTATGGGTTGGGGAAGCACCAAGTGTCTTCTCAGACCACTTGAGCAGAGCCGGACACTTTTTCTACATAATTCTTTTATTGAAAATATTGGTCATAGAACAAAGTCTAGATTTCCAGAAACTCAGCATCTGCCTAGGCATTTCTTGGCTACAGGAGAGCCATTTCTCTTGGTGACGAGGGCACACTTAGCTGCCCAGAGTCTGCTTCAGCTATGTAAGCACAGCTGTTGAGAGACACCGCACCAGTACACTATGAAGCAAATGGGGTTGCTGAGCTCATCATCCCAGTTCTAAGTGGCCTGTCTTGCTAGCAGAGTTCAGATGGAGATTGTCAAGGGGACACTTGAGGAGAAACGAAATGAATCTACTTTTCCAAACTGTTTTTCATTTTCTCTGTTCAGTCAGTGCCTGATTTCTCTCTTCCAGAATGGCCTTGGAAGGAGAAGGTGGAAAAGATGGGCCCGTCTCCTACAGACACTCGTGGTCCGACCACAAGCACCTTGCGCAGCCCGACACTGCCGTGATCTCGGTGGTGGGTGGCCGACACAGTCAGGTACACATCCACATGCTGCGCTCACACGCACACGCAGACAGGTGAACTTTGGTTACACGTGTTCACAGCAGTTTTTTTTTTTTCCCCAAGGGTTAGTAATTGTAAACCTGCTTTGTGCTTAGTATTTGCTTGGTTTGCTTCTGTGAGAGAACATAAAGAGTGAGAGAAAAGTTTACCCTAGAGGAAGAGGAATTTGAATGCTGATTAGATACTTGCAAGAACCTGGGGCCAGGGCTGATCACAGTGGAGGCCTTTGGTTTTTTTGCTTGTTTTTCAGGAAAATCTCACTTAATCCTTTTAAAGGGAGCACTTCCTACTGTTCTCTAAGGGTTCTGTTGCACAATAACCAACCAGAAGACATTTCTGCCCTGTTTGTAAAGTGCAAGTTATCCTCCAACCAAAGCTTGCATATTTGTTTATGCTGTAGCCATGTGCGTAGAGAGACTAAATTGATTTTCCAAGCTATAAAGGCTGTCCTTCACAGTGTAGACAAGGCAGTACTTGAGAACTGCCTCCTCTTCACCTCTCTCTTCCAGAGCCTTGGCTGCTGCCCCGTGGAACTGGAGCGAGGCCCTCGGGGCTTTGGCTTCAGCCTCCGAGGCGGGAAGGAGTACAACATGGGGCTCTTCATCCTCCGCCTTGCTGAGGACGGGCCTGCCATCAGAGATGGCAGGATTCACGTGAGTGGACTTCGGGCATCTGAAAATAAATGGTTTAAAGTGAATGAAAGCCTGAATCTAGGAGCAGGATTCTTCCTTCCGTAAAACCTAAACCACCTGTCTTCCCAGTAGTTTCGTGGCTCCCTCCCGCACGCAGTACCATGGCAGCCTCACACAGAAAGCACTTTCTTCCTTGATAAGAAAAATACATTTCCATTTCATTAAAGTCTTGAGAAAAATAAAACAAAAGAGAATCTTCAGTTCCTTCCAAGAGTAATAGGTGTGTCCATCCTGGCTGCCTGTTGGGTCGGGCTTACTGTGGAAAGACTCAGGCTCAAGCCTCTGAGCCACTCCCCCACTCCACCTGTTTTTTTTTTTTAATCTCCAAAATGGAGTCATTTTGTGCATTTTTAAAGAAATTATCTTTCAGTAGTTGTACAGAGGGTTGCTGGTTAACAAAACATTATGAGTACAATGCATCTTCAACATTCACCCACCCCTTCCCTCTTCTCAATTTTGTAGGATACACATTGAATTATTGGCCGCATCCTCCTCTTCTTTTCCTTTCTTTATAAATGGTACAATGTCATTCTTTCTTATGGATAAGTAAAATCCCATTATATATATACCGGATTTTCTTGATCCATTTGTCCATTGAGAGGCTTCTGGGCTGATTCCATATCTTAACTATGGTGAATAGTGTTGCAGTGAACATGGTTGTACAGACTTTACTGTAGCCTGGTTTGCGTCTTTTGGAGTGAATGGAATAGTTCTATGTTTAATTTTTTGAGGAGCCTCCACACTGCTTTCTGGAATGGGGGAGCAAGCTTACAGTTGAACCACAGCTCCACTTCTGGATTCTTTGGTGCTTAACTGGAGATGAGTCTTATGGACTTTCCTGCGTGAGCTGGCTTTGAACTACGATCCTCAGATCTCAGCCTCCTGAGTAGCTAGTATAATAAGCATGAGCTGCTGGCACCTGGCAAGGATTTTAAATTCTCTCTATATTCGTGATATTAGGCCACTGTCTAATGGGTAGCTGGCAAAAACCTCCTGTTGTTGTTGTTGTTGTTTTTGACGATCGTGGGGCTTGAACTCTGGGCCTGGGCGCTGTCCCTCAGCTCTTCAGCTCAAAGCAAGTGCTCTACCGCTTCAGCCACAGCACCACTTCCATGAGACTCTTATCTCCAGTAAACCACCAGAAAATGAAGTGGTGCTGTGGCTCAAGTGGTAGAGCGCTCACAACAACAACAAATTCTCATAACCTTTCGCCGGGTGCCAGTGGCTCAGAGGCCTATAATCCTAGCTACTCAGGATCTGAGGATCGAAGTTCAAAGCCAGCCTGGGCAGGAAAGTCCATGAAACTCTTATCTCCAATAAACCACCAGAAAACCGGAAGTGGTGCTGTGGCTCAAGTGGTAGAGTGCTCGCCTTGAGCTGAAGAGCACAGGGACAGCGCCCAAGCCCCACGACTGACCAAAAAAAAAGACTTTCCTGCCCGGGCTGCTTTTGAACCATGATCCTCAGATCTCAGCCTCCTGAGGAGCTGGGTAATGATAGATATGAGCCACCGGCACCTGACAAAACCTCCCATTTTGTAGGTTGTCTGTTTAACTTGTTGGCTATGTCCTTTACCATGCAGAAACTTTTGAGTTTGATGTAGTCTCCAAAATGAGACTTGATAAATATCAAGTCTTTTCTTTGGTTTGCTGTACTCATAGATCTTTTCTGTGCCAAGGAGTGCTAATGTTTCTCTCACTCCTTCCTATGATGGTTTCATGGTTTCCATTGAACGGATGCCCCAGCCCGGTGATAAATGTCCAGTTTCAGTTTTCTGCCTGTGGGTATCCACTTTTCCCAGAACCATCATTTGTTAAACAGGCTGTCTTTCTAATGGCCTATAGTTTTAGTTTCCTTATCCAATGTTAGATGGATGGCTCTCCGTGGGTTTATTCTGGTTCCTCTATTCTCTTCAATTGGTCCTCAGACCTGTTTCTGTGCCACTACCAAGCTACTGTCATTACTATAGCACTGTGGTAGAGTTTAAAGTTTGGTAGTGTTATATCTACAGCACTGCTTTCCCTGCTTTTACAATTTGGGGCATTTTATGATTCCATGTGAATTTTTGGATTGTTTTCTCTATCTCACTGAAAAAATGATGCTGGGATTTTAATAGAGATGTGTTTTAGGCAATATTTCCATTTTCATATTAATTCTGCCAGTCAGGAGCATGGAAGGTCTTTTCACTTCTTATGTCTTATATTTCCTTTTCTTTTTATATTTTCACAGCTAACAAAAAAAAAACTAAAATACATGCAAAAAAACTGTAGGCTTCACTTTACAAAATAGTTAACTCACTGATAACCAGGTGGGCTGTACATAAAGGCAGGATGTTCTAGACAGGCTCCTCAGTGCACTAGGGAAGAGGCTTTCTTCTCTCTAGCTTGTGAGGGTGCCTGGGTATGTGGAGGATGGGGAGCTGGGGACGTGTGGGTGGCTGCACTCACTCCTCACCCACTCTACTTACAAACATATCACTTACAAAGTTTTGTGCCTGGCCTTAAAAGAGCTGGGAAGATACCATCCTTCCTCAAAACGACCTGGCATCCATGTTAGAAGAGGGCGAGTAGAGACAATGTCCCAAAAGGATTGCTGATTGAGAGGACTGGGGTTGAATAGACACTGGGGTAGAAAACCCTCCACACCTCAGAACTCTACACGCGCACACACACACACACACACACACACACACACACACACACACACACACACACACACACACACACACACACACACACACACACACACACACACACACACACACACACACACACACACACACACACCAGCGTGGCAGGCAGATGGCACTTGAGTTGGGGTGGAATGGCCAGTGTGGATGCATGTGCTGCTCACAGGGCAGGCCGGGAGACCTTAGAGAGCAGTGGACCAGACAGAGCTCTGAGGCCTGCAGTGAGTGGAGCAGAAACAGTCAAGCAGATGGGGCAGACAGGAACGTGGATCTCATAGCCAGATGGAGCCGGGCAGTGGCAGCACCATTGGAGCCGTTAGCCGAGAAGACAGGTGCAGCTGCCTTCTCTTTTCACTTCTGACCCTCCTGCTTCTCCTCTCTCCACTATCATTTCTCTGTTCTTTCTTCTCTGCCATCTTTACCTCATAATCTTATGTTTTTAATGCAAAACTGAACTTGAGTGCTCATTCTCAATTTGTCAAAAGATGTTTTCCCCATTGTATTCTTACTACATTTTTAGTTTTTAGACTAAAACGTCAGTGTTGTGCAGTCCGGAACCCGGTACCCAAACCTGAGGGCTTATCTTAAAACCAATTCTGAAGTTAAACAAAACTGACACCTGGTGGTAAATCTGTTCAACTACAGCTTGATTTGCATTTTATTTTTATTTATTTTTTTGCCAGTCCTGGGGCTTGAACTGAGGGCACTGTCCCTGAGCTGCTTTGGCTCAAGGCCAACACTCTATCATCTTGAGCCACAGTGCCACTTCCAGTTTTTTCTGTGTATGTGGTACTGAGGAATTGAACTCTGGGCTTCATGCATGCTAGGCAAGCACTCTACCTCTGAGCCACCTTCCCAGCCCTGCATTTTGTCTTTTAGACCAAAATAAAAATGGTATAGGGCTATAGTTACAGACAAGGAATGTTTCTAAAATGAACAAAATACTTTATGTTCAGAAGATAACACTCAAAGCATGTTCTAGATACTGTCACTTTTCTCCAGCCTGCTAGTGTTGTCATACTTCTGTTGGTGTTTAAGTTCTTTTCATTCATTTGCCTCGGTCTGTTTGCTGTTGCCATAACTGAATGAGTACCTGAAGTTGGACTGTGTCAGGAGATGTACATCCTACACTTAGGGATGCTCACTCCCTGTGGCGGGGTTTCCTTACAGAGTCCTGGGGCTGTGCAAGTCAAAGAGCTCCCTCTGTAATGAGCCAGCCAGCCACCCCTGAAGTCCCATCTCCAAAGACTGTTTTAGTTGTGCTGCCTGGTAACAGGTAGTCAGTCTCCTGGCCTTGTCTCCAAGGGCCTCCTACCTCCATTTCAAGACTGGAGCACGTCGCCCTACATCTGCAATGAGACACTGTTTTCTCTTTCACAGAGCATGTGAAAATTTTATACAGTGTGGCGTATTGTATACAGTGCTAGTAATGCATTTGACAGCACTCATCTGGCTGGTGGGCAGTCACTGGGGCTCAGTTCAGTCTCCCAGTCACCCCAGTAGTTAGGTGCTACTATCCCCATTTAACTGTGAAGAAAGCAGGCCCAGAGCTTGAAAAAGGAGCAGAGCCAGGGGATTATAGACATGGACACCCAAGCCCCATTCTTCACCACCAACTGTGCTGTACACCTAGGCACACCGGACCCCACAGGCCCTGTGTATTACTTACCAATCGTTTTAGTAAGCTCTTTAAAACACCTGTACTATTTGCTTTTGCGAATTGCAGTCGTCTTCTATTCTGTTCTGGTTTGAGGCAGATACCCTTCAGCTACATGTCACCATGAGGTAGATTTTAATTTTTATTAACATAAATTGTACAAAGAGCATTGTAATACTCAACAATGTACGTTTTGATCAAACTCAGCGCCTCTTTCATTACTTTTTCTCTCTTCCCAGTCCTTGTCAAGTCTTTTGATGTGTTTCCTTGTTTTCATGTACTCTGGCAACATCCACCCCTCACTGAGTCCTTCCCCATCTCCTCACCTGCTGGTTCCTCCTCCCCAGTCTCCCTTTCACACTTGTCATTATTTGTAAGTCTGAATTACACATATAAGTGAGAAATGCAATATTGTGTCTTCAAACTCAGAAAGTATGGGCATGCATGTGTGGTGGTCCTGGAACTTAAACTTGGGCGCTGTCCCTGAGCTTTTTTGCACAGGACTAGTGCTCTACCATTTCAGCCAGAGCTCCATTTCTGGCTTTTTGGTGGTTAATTGGAGATGAGTCTCTCAGACTTTGAACTGCGATCCTCGGATCTCAGCCTCCTAAATAGCTACAGTTGTGAACCTCTGGTGTCCAGCTAATAATTAGTTTTAGACAAGTGCTGCTATTGACCTATCCCCCAAGTTTCATTTCTGTAGAATGTGAGACTAAATCTTCTGCCCAGCCGGGTGTCTAGGCAAAGACAGCACCAGGTGGGACGGGTCCAAGCCTGTCTCTAGACCTCAGTATAGCACCTCTGGTTCAAAGGCACACTGCAGAAATTGGTGTAGTTTGGTTTGTAGAAACCTCACCTCTTCTACTGCTTCTCTTTTCATAGAAAACCTTTGCTTTCTTTTCTGAGGTGCCAGGGGTAGAGCCAAAGGCCTTTCTTGCACCTGTCATGAAAAACTTAGAATTGGACTCATGATTCCAAGATCACCAGATAACTGACTTGTTAGCCATATAAAAGCTTCCCACGTAGGTCTCTGTGGGGTAAATAAGGCATACTTTATCCCTTCCTAATGTTCCGCCTCAGCTCTGGTGGACACGGGCATGCGGCACGTTGAGGTGAGACTGCTTCTGTGCGGGAGCTCGAGGGGGGCAGCTGCACGTGACTGTTTCTGTCCTTTCTAGGTCGGTGACCAGATTGTGGAAATCAATGGGGAACCCACACAAGGCATCACCCACACTCGAGCCATCGAGCTCATCCAGGCTGGAGGAAATAAAGTGCTGCTTCTCCTGAGGCCAGGATCCGGCCTGATTCCTGACCACGGTGAGCGGGGCTGTGCAGCACTGAGACGTGCAAGGGTTGGAGGGGGACAGTCTATAGCCAACTCAAAGGCAGGCGCCACCAACACCAGGCAGCTGCTGCGTGTAACTCAACAAGGGGCTTCCAGCGGGTGTCTGTTGAAACGGCATTTCATGTAAAAGTATCCGCCTGTAAGACAGGCAAGCAATTCAAATGCCGCAGTAAACTGGTAAGAATCTCCCAGCTTCTCTGTTCCATGGCTAGTTACACAGTACCAAAAAAGTTTATTTCCTTACAATAAGACCAGTTTACCTCTTAATGACAAGTTTTCGTAAGAAATTCAGGAATCCCTGTTACTTGTAAAAGCCCTAGAGGCACAGAGCTGGACCAGAGACCAGGTCTGTACTCCTGCACCAACTCCAGCTTCCTTGGCTTCGTCGTGTAGTTTGGACTGTCTTTTGAGTGCATCACGCTAGAAGTTAAAGGCAGTCATGTAGTCCCTTGGCCTTGGTCCTGTCTGCCCTAGCCCCTGTCTGCCCTAGCCCAGGCCTTCTAGGGCAAGTGTGGACATGACTTCCTGCCGTCCCGTCCCCTTCCAGCTTGTGACTCTGTTTTGCCTTCTGCCATCTGCTTGAGAGCCATGCATTCCAGGGACATCTTTGCTCACCACGCTCATTGTTTCCACATAGTCCTAGGCTTTTTCTCTTCCTCCTTCAGGTTTGGCTCCTTCCGGTCTGTGCTCCTACGTGAAACCTGAGCAACATTAAGGCTTTCAGGGCTTTTCTTGGTCTTTCCTTAAAAAGACTTGGTAAATTTGCATGTCTTATAAATCACTTCCTCCTTTTGTTTTCTTGTTAATTAAAAATGATGCCTTTATATGCATCTGTTTCTACCTTCTCACTTCTCAAGTCTCCTTTGGCATTGAATTTGGCCAGCATAGCTCAAGAAAAATGCTTACAAATATTCATGGAAGTTGTTCACATTTATTAATGATTTTGACATATCTCTTAAGGATATATCCATTGGTAATACCCTAGTTGTAAACCTTGTGGACAAGATAGTTTAGTCCAATTTTATTATCATTTCTTGTAACTTTCTGCTTTGGCTCTACAAATAATTCACAGGACACACATTACTTAGCTCATTAATTATACATAATTATAAAATGAAGTGTTTACATATATCAGCAATTTATCAGCACATGTTCTCCAGTGTCTGCCCATGTCTGCTTCACAGAGAGATATGTAAACATGCATCCGTTCAGTTTAAGGGGCTTGTGCCCGGTTCTGCTTCCAAATGTAACACTGTCACCCTGGACCCTTCTGTAGGTGACGGGGACACGAGTAGCCCTCCTTCTCTCAGTGTGATCTACGAGGAGCAGCCTCCGTGCCCCTCCCCTCCACACACCGCTCCCGCACGCGGAGAGGCGGAGCTGAAGGACGACGGCCCCGAGAAGAGAAGCACTTCACATGAGCACCAGCCAGAACTAACGCATCAGCCTCCTCTCCAGAAAACTGTGAACAGGAGAGGTCCACACCACGGTGACAAGAAGTATCTCCTAAAGGTAGAAGACGGTGGAATGCCACGAGGCAGATCTGCAAGTCCCAAAAAGTCAGCTAACCAACATCCAGAGGAGCATCTGGGGAAGAGTCCCAGTCCTCAGAAAGATGGCCTCAAAGGGAGACCCAGAGACGGCTCGCTCAGCCCTAGGAAAGGGGAGAGTAAAGGCCAGGTGGGTGCCAGGGCGGCCTCTGGACAGGGCCATGGCCACGGCAGGAAAAGCAGGGCGCGCTCCTCCAGCCCCAAGAAGCCGCACGACCTGGAAGGTGCCGGAACCAAATCCCTAGATGCGGGCAGGGCTGGTGACAGAGCAGAACAGCTCTCCGCTGCAAGAGAGAAAGCCGGTGCCAGCAGGAAAGATCTGAAGCCAAGTCCACTGGGGACAAACAGAGCCAGGTCTCCAGAGAGTAAGAGCAAGAGAATGGAGGCCAAGTCAGCCAAAAAGACCTTGAGCACTGCTAGTGGGGCAGAGCCTGAAGAGGGGTCGGAAGGGCAGGCAGCCTCTAGAGAAAGGAGTTCCAGTAGAGAGAAGCCAGGAGGGAGCCTCCAAACGTTAGAGGAGAGGACGGCACTCAGTCAGGACACTCAGAGAGGGAGAGAGGCAGCAGTGGCCGACCAGGGCCAGGAGGGCACTCGGAAAATGCCCATAACCCCAGGGCCCTGGAAGGTGCCAGGCGCTAACAGAGCCACAGGGGCTGCAGGTGTGGCTGAGAAGCGGCCCTGACCCAAGTCGTTATCTTCTCACAAAAAAGCATTTCCAAAAGCAGTTTTCCACAAGTTAGAATACCCAAGCACATTTTAATTTGAGCATCCTCTTGGGCCGCACGCAGGACCTTTGGCACTACTCAGCGCCTCCCCTGGGCAGCCTCGCCAGACAGCGTGGTGACACGTTCTAGCCTGTGGTTACCACCAGTGCTGTTTTTGTGCTATGTCACCTGCTGCCCGTGCTCTGTGCTCAGTGATGAAGTTGGGGTGGCGCAATAGCATGTTGCATGTTCACAGTCCTCAAGAAGAGGTGTGACCCATCATTAACGATGATGGCTGCCTCTTCTAACAGGTGCAGATGGTACCCCAGTTTAAAACAGAACCCCAAAGCCCTATTTTAAAGGAAAGCAATGTCCTTTTAGGGCTTGTTTTCAGTAGGACAGATGGGGCGTTAGGACTTATGTCTTTGCAGGCCATGGTGTTCCAACCTCTGCCAGCCTCAGTCACTATGAAGCCACAGGACACAACGAGTGCTCACCATATCTGGACAATTGGTCGTTCTACTAAACACGTAAGCTTTACTGCATATATGAAGAGCCAAAATAGGGTGCAAAAAGTGTGCAGCAGTTATGAAACCAGCCAGACTACACACAGCTCACTGGCTGAAGAGAAAGCCAGCCATTGGGCAGAGTCTGGGCCAGCCAGGCCTTGATCCTCAGCTGCTCAAACACAAGAGGAAGACAGAATGTCTGCTCAGCTGACATGCCTTCCCAGATCCTTTCCCACTGCTGTGTTGGAAGTGGATAGTCTCCAGCCCCACTGCCGGGCCGGATTCCATCCCTGTGGCAGCACTCCCCCTCTACACATGCAGGCATCCCAGGGCAACTGGTCCAGGGGCTCGAAGGTGTGTTGTCACCCTGGGTTTGTGCTGTTGTGAGAACCGTGTCCAGTCCTTCCCTCAAGTCTGCCTGTGAAACCCCATGTAGCACCCACCTGTAGCTGGCACACATGTCCCAAAGTGAGGCTCACTACTCACCGACTAGAGCGAAACCAAGAGGCTTGATAAATGCTGACTTTAGTTCTCTATAGCCCACAATTAGTGACGCGGGTCGTACCTTTCTTCTTAACCGTGATGTGGCTTGTCATAATGCAGCTCTTATCTCTGCATAGCCTGGCCCTGTGCAGGTAGACGCCGCTCCAGCCGCAGCGCAGATGTCCTGGTGTAAATGTTTATATATGTACAGTATCTTTATATATATATATATATATATATATGCATATATATATGTACACTGAAGTTCTGATTAGAGAAAGATCTGTAAATTGCTCGTTATTTTTTATATAGATATTAAAAAATCCATTGCCTGTATTTCCTTGACTCCTCTCCTTTTAAAGCTGCAGCTGAGTCGTCAAGGAGCTGAGCCCTCCAAGTGACAAACATTCAAAACCCTGGCTTGTCAGGGAGGTTCTGGTCCTGTGACTTCACCTGCAGAGCTAGACTTTTACTGTTACACCTATTTCTCACCATCCACTGTAGAGAAAATAATTTTGTTAAACCATTTGCCTTCTTGCACTGTCAAGAGAAGCTGGTCTCACTGGAAATCTAGCGTGTGTGCAGGCATCAGGTCACAGGCCCTCACATTATTCTTAAAACTTTAAGCTTTGAGAATGAAGTGCTGTGGAGTGGTCTCATTTAATACTTTGTATGAACTAGGCCTGTTTCAAGACCCTGGCTAATTTCTATTCAAGGAAAAGATAAATTCCTATCATAACATGTGCTCACACTGACAATAAACCCACACCTGTCTGTCAGGTGGTAAGGCCCTGAGTTCAAACCCAGGACCGGGTGGGGATGGAGGGGTGAAAAGATAAACCTAGTGGGCATCAGTGGCCCACACCTGTAATCCTAGCTACTCAGGAGGCTGAGATCTGAGGGTTGCAGTTCAAAAGCCAGCCTGGACAGGAAAGTCCATGAGACTCTTACCTTCAATTAACCACCAGAAAACCGGAAGTGGCACTGTGGTTCAAGTGGTAGAGCACTGGCCCTGCCCCACAACCGACCAAAAAAAAAAACCAATCCCTGGTTTCCCAGGCCTGCCCACATTGGAGAAGTACAGCAAACAGTCTGTTGTGGCCACTTCCTCCCTGGCGGATGACATGGCCGAGGCCTTCCCTACGGAGCCCTGAGCACTGACACGGCTGCACACACGTGGCTTCACACATGTGGCTCTGCGGAGCCCAGGCCCTGCCAGCATGCGCTTGATACATAGCCCGTGCCATTTGGGGGCTAATTCAAATTTCTCCTCAAATAAGAGATTCACAATTTAGATATTTTTCTTGCTTTTAATCACAAAATAAGCCTGGAAACGGAAATTATCCAGTAGTTTTCTTTTATTTGGATTCAACCTAAAATAGCTTGATCTCCCTTTAATAGAGAAATGCCCGATTCCATAGACTATCATTAAAAAAGTACTGAGTGTACATCTTTCCAATACGATACTTGCTTCGAACTTTAGGCATCAACCATAGCTACCCAAAAGGCTTTCCAGTAAGTACAACTCAGTTCTCAAGTGCCTGGAATGGCTGTCTTAGCCTGGAACACGTTGTTACTGACCGCATCTGTCGTCTGCTGACCGCACATGGCTAAAGGCGAAGAGGTGCACAGGTGGCAGGGCCGAGAGCAGCCGTCTCTCAGTGGGCTAACAGACGCCATGCAGGGGGTCCGGGGACAGGACTCAGGACTTAATTTTCCACAGCTAAGAAAGAAAACATCAACAAAGTTAGTTCTAAAACTAACAGGTTCTAAAACTAATAGTCTCATGACTTCACAGAGAAGAACTATCAACTATCCCAGCCACAGATTAGGAAAAAAAGCATCTTTTGCAGGATCAAAAATGACTGTGCAGCTTGACCATGGGTTCTCATGCCTACCTGAGATCATGGTAACATCTTCCAGCGTGTGCTACTAAAGTGACATGAATTCACACCTCATCGACGGTGCTAAGTGCTCTACGCGTGTGGAGGAGGAGAGCTGAGCTGAGAAGCAGAGCATCAGCAGACGTTCACACCTGAGCCTCCTGATGCACGCACACACCCGCACACACTAGGACAGGAAGGCAGTGGCGGCAGGCACTCACTCTTATATTAAACCCCAGAAGATCGCTTATGACTCCTGAGACGGCAGAGAGGATAACTACTCTCGTGATGTTGTAGATCAGGGGGTTCATGGTCAGCCCGTAGAGTCTAAATGGGGTGTCCAGCTCCTACAAAGCAAGAGCTAGCATGAGATGCACACAGAGACACGCTCTGCACACCTGCCTTTCCAAGATCACCTGCAAAGTCCATGAGGCCCTGAGGTGAACCACACATTTTAGATGGATTCGGTATCATTTTGTTGTTGGTGCCGGTGGTCAAGGGGCTTGAACTCTGGGCCAGGGAGCTGTCCCTCAGCTCTTCAGCTCAAGGCGAGTGCTCTACCACTTGAACCACAGTGTGATTTCCAGCTTTCTGGTGGTTCATTGGAGGTAAGAGTCTCGCAGACTTTCCTGCCCAGGCTGGCTTTGAGCCACAATCTTCAGATCTGAGCCTCCTGAGCAGCTAGGATTACAGGTGTGAGCCACTGGCGCCCCACTTTAATTTTTAACATTGTGATACACTTTGCCAATCATCAAATCTGAGCAGGAAGATTGGAAATTTCTCCTTACCTGTCACTAACCCAAACCATCAGGCTGGCATTTGACATCTATTCATTCTGGTATTTACTGTCACCATGGTCTCAGAGTTGTAAGAGGTGAAACCCTGATTTGCTGACTTGAGGGGATGATTTTAGTTCATCGTCTTCTTTCTTGTACAGAGAACTACATGAACACAGCTGACACTAGGGCCTCTGCCTTGGCGACCGCACCTCCTTCCAGAGGTCGGTCAGAAAGCAGGCCCAGGCCTTGAGAAGTTGCCGAGTGGTGCTGGCCACCGTGCAGGGTCCTCAGTGCTACCACCGACAGCAGCACCCACCACAGGGCAGGACGGGGCAGCACCGGGGCGCAGGGCACATCTGGTCTGCTGACTGACCGGCATAGGTTGCTTCACATGGAAAAACCTCATGACCTCTAGCTCCTGGGTGGGCAGGGACACACCCTCCTTGTCACCTCAGAGACCAGGCCACTCTGTTCTCAGCCTTGCTTCTTGTCTCTGGCCTGGCCATGGGTCTCGGCCCGTGAACCCCGAGCTCTAGGGCCTCCTGTCTAGACCACCCATCCCTGGTGTTTCCTCAGAAAAGCTGCCGTCTTAAGCAGCAGTGGCTTACACCTGTCCTCCCAGCTACTCAGGGCCATGGTGCCAGCCAGCCATGCAGACAAGAAAGTCAGCGAGACTCCTACCTCCAATTAAAGCACTGAAAAGGCTGGGTGTGTCCTTGGCTTAAGTGGTAAAGCACCAGCTTTGAGCAAAAAGTCTGAGGGACAGTGCCCAGCCCTGAGTTCAAGCCTTAGGACCAGCACCAAAGAAAAAAGAAAGAAGCTGAGACAAGTATGTCATTGGATGTTACTTACTTTTAGCAACTTGGTGGACAGCTTTAGTACATTGTTTACAAGAGTGAGCTGGTCTTTTTTATTTGGCTTTTTTTCCATCTTAAGATATAAATTAATCTGGGAAAGGAATAAATATTAAGGTTAAGTTTCATAGCAAAACAAAATATATACAGGGCTAGGGCACGGCTCAGTGGTAGAGTGTCGGCCTAACACGCAGGGGGCCAGGAGTTCAAACCCACATATCATCAAAAACACCTTTTAAAATTTCTAACAAGTACTTCTGCAGAGAGCACATACCATGTATGCTAGCCCCCAAGCTCTGACAGAGTAAACCTTAGCAAAGGTAATAACCGAACCATCAACAAATTCCTTTTTATAGTAATTACAAATACAACAAAATCAGCATGTAAATTCCTTAAGTTAAAAAACTCTTGTTTGTCTCACCCCCCAAATAACCTAAACATGTGGAAAGAAAACAGTTTAACTTCCTTATTTTCCCCTAATAAGAATTCTCCACTCTATTTGGAAAAGGGTGGAGGAATAATGATTCTAAATGTTTTTAGCTCAGGTTTATTTGAAATCAAAAATAAAGGGGACTGGGAATGTAGCACGCATGAAGCCCTGGGTATGACTCCTCAGTACCACATACACAGAAAAGGCTGGAAGTGGCGCTGTGGGTCAAGTGGTAGAGCGCTAGCCTTGAGCAAAAGAAGCTCAAGGACAGTGCCCGGCCCTGAGTTCAAGCCCCAGGACTGGCAAAAAATAATAAACATAAAAAGATAAAACTGTTTTGTGCTCCTCTGTGTTTACAAGGTATTAATATACTGAAACACAAGTCTTTTCCAAGTCCTGGGTGCGGTCTTGTGGCTGGTGCCGCAGAGTCTGGAAGGCTCTCTGGGTGGTGACAGGTCCTCTAGAGGCCTGAATCTATCCTGGCCACAATGCCAGGCTAGAAGCGTGCTGTCACAGGCAGAAAACCAGGTCTCTTCATCCCTCCGATCCTGACTCCCTGGACCTGGAGCAGGCATGAGGCCCTGATGAGTGTGCTTAGAGCAGGGGCAGCATGACCCAGTGGCGATGCCCCTCCCCCCCATGCCCTACCTGCTCCGTGAGCAGTATGGAGACGTTGCTGTATTTCTTGTTGGTTTCAGACCCCAGTGAGGCCAAGCGCAGTAAGAACAGCAGCAGGGCTGTTTCCCAGACCAGCAACTCCCAGTTGTAAGCGTCGTTCAGGAAGGTTTTATGCCCTTGGAGGACCTACAGAGAACCCAATAAATGCTCAGTTCTAAATCTGCCTTCAGTCACATAATGGATTCCTTACCAAATTTAAAAGAACACTTTCAGATGCAAAGCCGAAGAGTTTCAGTGCTCATAAAGTATTATCTTTAATCTGTAGCACTTTTCCTTTTCCTAGTAAGGGGCTGGGGGAACCCATGGGGACACACAGATACTGCAGGAGGAGAAGACACAGACACCGCAGGAGGTGAGGAGGGGCACAGCCATCTCTGGCTGCTGTGACCAGCCCCCTCCTGGGGTGCAGGACCACAGTTCCCTGCCAAGTGCGCCAGCGAGCCCACAGCCCACCCCACAGGCCCTCCACTCCCAGCGCTGCAGCACCCTAGGAATCAGCTCTTCACTCCATGTCAGGTCGAACATCACTAACATCAAACAAAAGCTAAAACCGAGAGTGCCTCTTTTCCTTCAAGTTTCCTGTTAGTTGTTTTTAAAATGTTGACTTAAGAGTAAAAAGGCATGGTGACTCATGCCTAGAATCCTAACTACTCAGGAGGCTGAGATTCTGAGGATCATGATTCAAAGCCTGCCGGTGCAGACTCTGCAAGAC